AAAAAAAAAAGCAAACATCATTCTGCGATGTGTTAGCAGGAGTGTTGTAATCCAGACACGAGAAGTAATTCTTCTGCTCTACTCCACTCTGATTAGGCCTCAGCTGGAGTATTGTGTCCAGTTCTGGGCAGCACATTTCAGGAAGGAGTGGACAAATTGGAGAGAGTCCAGAGAAGAGCGACAAAAATGATTAAAGGTCTAGAAAACATGACCTCTGAGGGAAGATTGAAAAAGTTGGGTTTGTTTAGTCTGGAAAAGAGAGGATTGAGCAGGGACATAAGTTTTCAAGTATGTAAAAGGTTGTTACAAGGAAGAGGAAGAAAAACTGTTTTTCTTAACCTTTGAGGATAGGACAAGAAGCAATGGGCTTAAATTGCAGCAAGGGAGATTTAGTTTGGACATTAGGGAAAACTTCCTAACTGTCAGGGTGGTTAAGCACTGGAATAAATTGCGTAGGGAGTTGTGGAATCTCCATCATTGGAGATTTTAAAGAACAGGTTAGACAAACACCTGTCAGGAATGGTCTAGATAATTAGTCTTGCCACGAGTGCAGGGGACTGGACTAGATGACCTCTTGAGGTCCCTTCCAATTCTATGATTCTTTATTTTGCCAGATACGTATTTGATCTATGATTTGCCCAAAGATCAGCTGTTATTGGTTCCCACTGAGTTTCTGGCTATCTGCTCTAGAAAAAAATCCCCGAAATGGCTTGACTTGCAGTTGGATACAAAGATGCAGTCACAAATTGCAGCGTTCTGCATCTCCAGGATTCATTATAAGTGACTCTCAGAAAGAGGCAATTCTTTGGGGAGAGGGGAAAGAGAACTGTGAGCATACTATAATTGTCCTTTTATTCACAAACTGCAGAAAACACAGCTTAGAAGTAAGAGAATGCAGCTTCTCTGCATGCTCCATTTCATTTTCATCATTATCTGTGTATATCCAAAAGTTTTTGAATGACTTTTTAAAAAAGATTACATAGTGACTTGTATTTTTTTTTCATTGATAGTGAAAGTTTTATGGAGCAGTTCAGTTTGAGTATTGTCCTTCTGGACAGTTTGATGTAGTTTATGATGTTTGGTGAAACAGTTTTGTCAGAAAATAATTTACTATACAATGATCTGATAGTTTTGTTCACAATTGGCCCATAACGCCTCAAAATTTAACTGGTCTGGGACTGCAAAGGATGGCTTGGAAGGTACTGAGATCAGGTGTCACAGTAACTGTAGTGTTCTGAACTTCCTAAGAATTTGTGCTTGGGATATACAGTGTAGGCATGTACTACCCTCCGAATGAGGATCTCAAAGCACTTTAGAAACAACAATTCACGTTCACAACACCCCTGTGAGGGAGGGTGGTATTATCCCCATTTTATAGAGTGGGAAACTGAGGCAAAAGGCGGCAAAGTTATTTCCTCAAGATCACAGAACAAGTCTCTTATCAAGCAGGGAATAGGATCTAGTTCTTCTGACTCCTGGTCTTGTGTCTTAAGCACTTGTGTGTGCTTTTCCCCATGCGTTCATTTAAAGCTGCATTGTTTCATACTGGGGGAGGGATTGAATGCATTCCTGCCACTCCATAAAACTTTGACATCTGATAAAAGAAGTCCTAGTTCTGTTAAATGTGCTGTAGTAAAGTTGATCCTTGGGAATTTTTCACCAGCTAGTTCCACAGTAAGTATTCAGTCTTGTTTTACAGATAAGTAAGATGCCATCTTCATACCGTAGGAGCAAAGATGGCTGAGTGTCTAGCTACTTTAAAACATACGTTCTAGCAAATAAAAACATCAGCAATAATTGTAGAGTTCTTCTGCTTCCCTTTAAGGCAGTGGTGGGCAACCTGCGGTCTGTCAGGGTAATCCGCTGGTGGGCCGCAAGACAGTGTTTACATTGATTGTCCACCGGCACTGCCACCCGCAGCTCCCAGTGGCCACGGTTCGTTGTTCCCGGCCAATGGGAGCTGCAGGAAGTGGCGCGGGCTGCAGGGACGTGCTGTCCGCCGTTTCCCGTAGCTCCCATTGGTGGGCAATGGCGAACCGCGGCCACTGGGAGCTGCAGGTGGTCGTGCCTGCCGATGGTCAATGTAAGCAAACTGTCTCGTGGCCCGCCAGCAGATTTTATAGCTTTTGTTGGCTCGTGACCCTGTCCACTGTGCCATGCAATTTCAAATTCCCATCTTCTGTTTGTATGTTTATGCCATTATTGGTAGTCAGTAGTGTGATACAGATTGCTGCTGTTCCTGGAGAGCAGGGATCTAGGGATTAGGCTTGAAAACTAAAATTTAAAATAACGTTGTTGTTTAGTTTGTATTGGTGTTCTGTTTACCCCAAAAGCAATTGGATGTGAAAGAACAAAATGTAACAGAAATGTAACCCATTAATGTACCTTATTATCCCTTTTGTTGTAGAAGGAGTATAAATAAAAGAAAAAGTGGAATTATTTTCTGTGGTCAATATGGGTACGATATACAGTTGAACCTCAGAGTTATGAACACCAGAGTTACAAACTGACTGGTCTACCACACAGCTCATTTGGAACTGGAAGTATGCAATCAAGCATCAGCAGAGACCAAAAAAAAAAAAAAAAAAAGGCAAATACAGTACAGTACTGTGTTAAATGTAAACTACTAAAAAAAAAGAAAGGGAAAGTTGAAAAAAAGATTTGACAGCGTAAGGAAACTTTCTGTGCTTGTTTCATTTTAATTAAGATGGTTAAAAGCAGCATTTTTCTTCTGCATAATACCGCTATGAAACTTTACTAAGTCAATGTTTAGTTGTAAACTTTTGAAAGAACAACCATAACATTTTGTTCAGAGTTACAAACATTTCAGAGTTATGAACAACCTCCATTCCCGAGGCGTTCATAACTCTGAGGTTCTACTGTAATTGCAAATTCTGCTAATTGCCAAGTCCATTAGACAGAGGAATTATCTGCCAAAGTACATGGTGAAATTCCCCCCCCCCCACCCTCACCCCAGGGGCTTCTAAGGCAGAAGTTGCAGGGAATTATTGGGGAATTGGTAAAATTCCATGAATGTTGTAATGTAGAAGGATGACTAGATATTTTGAGAGGGCTTTTAAAATTATAGTCTGTACAATTCATTTTTTCTTTAAGTCTAGAATGCATAGTGATTTAGGACAGAGAAAAAGCATTGCACATCTGTATTTACAAAAATAGTCATTTTACTACAGGAAATGCTTAGTTAATTCATGTTACCGCCAAAGCACCATGGCTCTCCATGAGTTAGCAATTAAGGGTCCTCCTTCACCTCTTGCTGGTTTTGTCTTTGAAGTGACAGCTCCAACTTCAAAATAACCCTTCTGTTAGAAAATGTTTTACCTCTTGTTGTTTCAAGTAACTTGAATTACGCATTGTAGTCTAAGCCAGTGCTACTCAAAGTGGTGGTCCGCGGACCGGCACGTTGGCTGCCGGTCTGCGCGCACATTGGAAAAAAAAATTGCTGGTCCCCATACCAGATAGCTTGAGAAGCACTGGTCTAAGCTTGAGGTAACAAAGGGTCACATCCTTTGGGACTAAACTGTATTTTGAGTCTGCCTCTGCTCTGAATTCTTGAACCCTGGCTGCAAGGACCAGATGCTGGCTGGATGCAATGGGACCATGATACTTGAAGCCAGCTGGAAGCCTCTTCACTGTGCCGTGGGATTGGAGAGCGCAACACGCAGATGCAAATTACAAAACCATCCAAACAGAGATTCCAGATGACTGGAAAAGGGCAAATATAGTGCCCATCTATAAAAAGGGAAATAAGGACTACCCGGGGAATTACAGACCAGTCAGCTTAACTTCTGTACCCAGAAAGATAATGGAGCAAATAATTAAGCAATCAGTTTGCAAACATCTAGAAGATAATAAGGTGATAAATAAACATAGATTTAAGAACAAATCATGTCAAACCAACCTGATAACTTTCTTTGGCAGGGTAACAAGCCTTGTGGATGGGGGGAAGTGGTAGACATGTTATATCTTTACTTTAGTAAAGCTGAATGCATCTGATGAAGTGAGCTGTAGCTCAAGAAAGCTTATGCTCATATAAATTTGTTAGTCTCTAAGGTGCCACAAGTACTCCTTTTCTTTTGACACTGTCTCACATGACCTCATAAACAAACTAGGGAAAAGCAACCTAGATGGAGCTACTATAAGGTGGGTGCAAAACTGGTTGGAAAACCGTTCCCAGAGAGTAGTTATCAGTGGTTCACAGTCTGCTGGAAGGGCATAACGAGTGGGGTCTTGCAGGGATCAGTTCTGGGTCAATATCTTCATCAACAATTTCATTAATGGTATAGAGAGTGCACTCATAAAGTTTGCAGATGATACCAAGCTGGGAGGGGTTTCAAGTGCTGTGGAGGATAGGATTAAAATCCAAAATGGTCTGGACAAACTGGACAAATGGTCTGAATTAAATAGGATGAAATTCAATAAGGACAAATGCAAAGTATTTCTTCCTAAATGGAGTAATCAGTTGCACACATACAAAATGGGAAATGACTACCTAGGAAGGAGTACTGCCCTGAGTGCAGGGGACTGGACTAGATGAAACTCTCGATGTTCCTTCCAGTTCTATGATTCTTTGATAACCAGAGTTCAGTGAATCAAGTTTGTGCTGCACTTTGTCACGCATTTTGTTCTGAATTTCCTTTAATTTCTGATTATTTGGAGGTTTTACATAGAAACAGGTTCCCCCTCTTTACACCTCTATTTTAAGCAGCATCCTCTGGCCTGATGCTTCCAGGGGATTACAATGCCTTATTTGTGGTGACAGAACTTGTAACTGCAGAAGTAATTGTGATAGTAGCTTCATTGAATGGATAGAACAAGAGGGAACTGCCCACAGCTACAAGTGAATTTGTTCTAACTCCATCTTGGGACTAAAAAAATTCTATGGCAGCAGGCAAAGTTGTTGTCCTGCAAAGCAATAAAACTGTGTTTCTGCCTTTTATGATCAGAAGAATAAGTTGTTTTCTTTTTTAATCTCTTCATAGAAATCTTGCAGCAGCTTCATCAGCAGCTGGTGGAGGCTGAGCACAGGAGCATGACCTACCTTAAACGGTTTAATAAAATCCAGGTAGACTATCACAATCTCATCGGGGTCACTGCTGAGCTGGTGGATTCCCTCGAGGCCACAATCAATGGCAAGATGGTAAGATGAGCCCCAAGTGTGTACATGGTTCTGCTTTAGGAAATGGAAGTAGAACCTGCCTGAAGTGCAAGTTAAGATTAATGGTAGCTCAGTGTTTCTGTAAGTACAGCATGCATTTAATAGACAAACGTAAATCTTGGGGAGAGATTCTCCCTTTGTCCCTGCATGCTGCTCTGGTAGGATAAAGGCGCCACAAAGGGCTGGAATAGAATTACCCCAGCTCGGGAACAGTATACTGCAAGCATAATTGTTTCTATGCTGCTCCCCTTGTGGGCTCTGGCATAGGGGTAGGAAGGGGGAATCTCCATAGCGCACAATCGTATGGAGATTATGGACTGTGGCACAGCACATGACAGCCCTTGGGAGGCTGCTTTAAATTAGAGACACCCCCTGAGCGTTTCTAGTTTATACCAGTCTCCCGGCTAACCCAGGATCTGGGTGGTGCAAGGGTGTTTGCCCTCCATCCCCCAAGCTGAACTTTGTGTTATGTTAACTTAGTTAGTAAAGAAAAATTCCCACGAAGAAGGGGAGTTGTCTCTGTGCAAAGAGGCTCAGATCTCTGTCTGTGACTCAGGAATGCACAGCCCAACTTCGGGTAGAAGTTGTCCTTGAAAGTCTGTCTCTGTTCTTCAGCCTGGCCTAAGGCCTGATCTACACTACAAAGTTAGGTCAATGTAAGGCAGCTTACCTCAACCTAACTCTGTAAGCGTCTGCACTATAGTGTTGCTCCCACTGATGTAACTCGCCCACTACACCGACCTCATAACTCCACCTCCGTGAGAGGTGTAGCACTTAGGTCAATGTAGTTAGGGTGAGGCAGTGTCTGTTTAGACGCTACGTTACTTACGTTGCCTGTTGGCTTTCAGCCCTGTGCGGGGCTCACGGCTGTCAGAGCCCCACAGTACCCTACAAAGTTAAGTCGGTAGAAGTGTTTCTGGTGAGGATGCACACCACCGACAGAGAGGGCATAATGTGGACATGAACCACTGTAGTAATTACTGAGGTCGACATACAGCCACCAAACTTAGGTCGACTTAATTATGTAGTATAGACAAGGCCTGACTCTGTGCTGGTCTAGTCTTCCAATATAACTTGGAACAGCCTGAAGGTTTTTCTTAATTATGCTGGCTACCGGTAGCTTCCAGGGGCTGTTAAGGTAGCCATGGATTGCTGGCTGTGGGAGAGCGGAGGTTGGAGTCGCTACACTTGCTCTGTGCCACTGAAGGATCCCCCTACACTAGGGTGAACATCTTGTGGCTGGTGACCAGGGCTGGATTAATGCAGGGGTTTTAGGGGCTGCAGCCCAGGGTCTCGGGCTAAGGGTGGCCTCTGCAAAAATAAATCCATAATTATGTACAATTCAGAGGTCACCAACCCATTGATTGCGATCAACTGGTCGATCTTGGAGTTTCTGCCAGTCGATCGTGATGTCCAGGCCCATAAAAGTCCAGCGGCACAGCAGGGCTCAGGCAGGCTGCCTGCATGCCATGGCCTCACACCACTCCCGGAAGAGGCTGGCTGCTGGCACGTCTTTGCGGCCCTGGCGGGGAGGCGGCTCCATGCGCTGCCCCTGCCCCCAGCACCATCCCTGCAGCTCCCATTGGCCAGGAACTAGCCAATGGAAGCTGTGGGGGTGGCGCTTGTGGCACGGGCAGCGCATGGAGACATGCTTCCCCCCAGGGGCGCACGGAGACGTGCCAGCAGCCGACCACTTCCGGGAGCAGCGTGGGGCTATGGCTGGCAGGCAGGCAGCCTGCCTGAGCCCTGCTGTGCTGCCAGCTGGGAGCTGCCTGTTGTAAGCGCCTCGTGGATGGAGCCTGCACATCGCACCCCCTCCTGCACCGCAAACCCCTGCCCCAGGTCAGAATCCCCTCCTGCACCCAAACTCCCTCCCAGAGCCCACACCCCTCACCCTTTTCTTCACCCCAGCACTCTGCCCTAGCCTGGAGCCTCCTTCTGTACCCAAACTCCTTCCCAGAAAGAAACTAATATAACAGCTGTTCTAAGGTAAGAAGTAGGCTATTTTGAATTAACTTAACTATATTCTACATGTTTTAAGACTGAAATGTAACCGCAAACTGGCTTTATGTTAATTAAAAGGCAAGTTTAGTATAACGTTAATAGCCTCAGTGCCATAATTGTGATCATTTTGTTTTAAATTAGGAAAAAGACTTGTATACAGGGGCCCCACAAAATCTAATAGCCCCGGGCCCACAGGAGAGTTAATCCGGTGCTGTGGTGACTCTGAGTTTAGGGTTGCTTTCTGCTGACGAAGCAGTGTTAAAGTGGCACCATGAAAGGAATTTATGATCTGCCACAGTGTGTGGACTTTGCTGTAGAACAGGATGGGAAAGGTGCCTGATCACACTAGCTTTGAAAATAGTTGGGAGTAAATGTCCAGTCATTCGTTGCTCCCATTCCCTAGCTTGGTGCAGTGCTGTCCAAAGTGATATTCCCTGTGTTCTTACATGGAGCTGTGTCAGGCTAAGGAGCTATTATTTTGACTTTTGTTTTCCTTTGCACTCAAAGCTCAGTAAAGTGCATCATCTGATCCTTCCCAAATGTGTCCAGCTGGTGGTGCTCCTGAGTTGTAGATCAATGTTTCTACCCTGGCTCTGACTTCAGGATGGTTTTGGGACACTATCATAGGGCCTAATCACATCAGCCGCACTATCAGAGGCTCGTTTACCTGCACATCTACCAATGTGATAGATGCCATCAAGTGCCAGCAATGCCCCTCTGCCATGGACATTGGCTAAACTGGACAGTCTCTGCGTAAAAGAATAAATGGACACAAATCAGAAGTCAAGAATTATAACATTCAAAAACCAGTCGGAGAACACTTCAGTCTCTTTGGTCACTCGATTACAGGCCTGAAAGTGGCAATTCTTCAACAAAAAAACTTGAAAAACAGACTCCAACGAGAGACCGCTGAATTGGAATTAATTTGCAAACGGGATACAATTAACTTAGGCCCACCTTGATTATCACTACAAAAGGTTCACCCCCCCCCACCCCACCCCCGATGGTAATAGCTCACCTTACCTGATCACTCTTGTTACAGTGTGTATGGTGACACCCATTGTTTCATGTTCTCTGTGTATATAAAATCTCCCCACTGTATTTTCCACTTCAAGCATCCGATGAAGTGAGCCGTAGCTCACGAAAGCTTATGCTCAAATAAATTTGTTAGTCTTTAAGGTGCAACAAGTACTCCTTTTCTTTTTAAGGTGGTTTTGAACTTTGAATAGAATCATGATGGAAGTATATTAGTTCTGATTGAAAGTATTGGTGTGTCCCTGCCCATCACTTCGTAAAAAAAACAAACAATACAGTTGTGGCCCCAAACTGGACTATTTAAAATAATGTTGTTTTACACTTTGAGGGCTTCAGGAACCTTGCTACTGCAGCTGTTAGGCGGGGTCTAAGAGATATCACGAATTGGGGTTCCCTGGAGAGGAAAGAGCAGGCTTCTCAGCTACTGAAGAGCTTTCAGCTGCTTTGAGGCAGGTAGATCCCCGTCCAGGAGCCCCTATACTCAGCAAGGGGGAATGAAGTGTGAACATCCCAACCCTCAAATCCCCCGATATCCAGGAAGCATATGGCCATTTCCCTGGGAGGCAGAGCTGTTGTGATTTTATTTTCCCAAAACCCTAAAGCTCACTGTAAACAACATTAGAATTGTATGAAATGAAGCACAAAAATGTATATGTACGTGACATGCGCTTACTCTCTCTCCTGGATAGCTGTCTGTGTATGCTTTGAGATCTATCATTTGTTTAGGCAGGGTTATGGTGAGTTGTTACCTCATAATTCTCAGCAGTATTGCCATTTTAGTATTTATTCTTGGTTTAACTTCCCTTTTAACAAAAGAAAACTTGTACATAGACTTTAATGTGTTGAATTTTCATTTTTGGCGCTTCCTTGTAAAACCACTTACTGCAGTGGTTTCCCAAAACATGTATAGACTAATAGAATATCAGGGTTGGAAGGGACCTCAGGAGGTCATCTAGTCCAATCTGCTGCTCAAAGCAGGACCAATCCCCAGTTTTTGTCCCAGATTCCCAAACGGCCCCCTCAAGGATTGAACTCACAACCCTGAGTTTAGCAGGCCAATGCTCAAACCACTGAGCTATCCCAAATCTAAGGTGACCCACCAACTCCATTTTATCTTTTTTTTTAATTTTTTTGTTGTGACATCCTCCTCCCCCCACCAGGATCCAGATTAGTCAGGAGGCCCCAAATTCATAGGCCAGCATCCTTTGCTTCCTCCTGCTCCTTGGTGCCCCACCAAGGAGGCACCAGCCACCCACACTGGCCACCTTGGTACTGCGACCCTAATCCTAGCCTAGTGCAGAGGGGAAGCCCCAGGGTAGGGTGGTAGAGAGTGAATCCACCCTGCGCTCACCTTGCAGAGACAGCTCCAATCCCATGTAGCTGGGCCCAGCTCCCTGCTCTGGGCATTGTGACCTGGTGCACAGAGTCGCAGTGCTATTCAGGTTTGCCGTCATGGAGGGGCAATGAGTCCAAATTTGAGTGAGTGGTGCTGCAATCTGGTGCAAAGGGTCGCAGCACCACTCAAGTTTGTCCTGTCCATCCCCCTTCATGAACGGTGGCTGGGACAAATGTGGGTGGGCTGTGACTCCATGTGCCAGGTCACAAAATCCAGAACTGGGCCCAGCCCCTGGGGAGAGAAGCCACTGCTGCAGCGTGATTACGGGGCAGGTTTGCTCCCCCTTCCCACCCTCTCCTCCACATGCAGGGTCTCACCTCCACACCGGGTCCAAGACCCATCTAGAACTTTCCTGTGACCCACTGATAGGTTGGGAAACATTGACTTCCTGTACAAGTACCTGGCTGAAGTCAAATGGAAATGTTATGTAATTTCATGTGCTTGGTTTATTTCTTTATTTTAGATCACACCAGAATATCTTCAAAGTGTCTGTGTTCGTTTGTTTAGCAATCAAATGAGACAAAGTATAGCACATAGTATTGACTTCACAAGGCCTGGAACTGTAAGTACAATCAATTTGCTCTTATCTCTGTAGCCATCTTAAAATACAATACTCATTAAGCTGTATATTTAGGCTTGGAAGGATGAGCTGTTCATTGGTAAATGTCAATTTTGCCATACATACACACACAAATGAAAAATATTTCCATCAATGACAGGAATATGCAGATGGACAAAATAAGAAAAATGCTGATTGAGAACTTAGTAGAGTTCAGTTTATGGATATTTACTTTGTATATTTTGACATGTGATGTTGACAGTTTGTGTTTTACTGGTTATAAAACTTTAACTTTTGAATCTCAGTGTCTGTTGTCATTAAATTTATGGGGTGGGTCAGACAATTATTTAATTAAAATGATTTAAAAAATTAAAAATGCTTAAAAATATATATCAAAATTATCCACTGAATTTATTAAAAAAATCAGATTCTGTCAAGCCTACGTATATTGCACCAGGGACGTAAGATTATGACCCTGTGTGTAAAATGTAAGGAGTAATGTACACCACGCTGACATAAGGTTATGATTACATTTTGGGCTTCTGATGACCATGGTTATATTGCCAGTTCCATGAGATGGAATTGCAGCCTCATATATAGGCTTCTGAGGCATCTTTATCTTATAATACATGATGAACCACATTGCTGTTAAGAATCTACAGACATACTTTGTCTCATTTAGTTCCATTGTAGGCCTGCATCCAGGTTCTGTGGGTAAATACCTTAGCTCCTGTCGATGGACTCCCTGGAAGGCCTGATGGTTCTTTCCCAACTCATTCTCTCAGTCATACTCTGTCACTGGAGCTACAGTGCTGTTTTCCCATTCTGTCCCTCTCTATGATGAGTCAGGGCTAGATTTGCAGAGGTATTTAGGCACCTAAAGATGCAGATAGGTGCCTAGTGGAATTTATAAAAGCACCGAAGAAGGTTAGGCATGTACCTCCCATTGAAATGTTGGCTCTCTAAATATCTAAGACACTGAAGTGTGAGGTATTTAATTAACGTGTAAATATTATTGAATGGCTTTAAACTTTAACTGTACATTTGTTTTATGTACTTGAATTTTCTCGTTTCTTGTGACAACGTTAATATTAATTAAAATATTGTGTTCCATGACTTTGTCTTTCGTAAACTAAAATGATGACTTTTCCCATTTTTTTGGCCATGACTGCACCAAGCCTTCCTCACGGTATAGTGATAGTTTGTGATATGTAAAAGGAACAACAAAAGGAAGCAAGAATTTTTGCTGATCTGTTTCATTTGCCATTCCAGCTGATCTTTGTAATGACAATATATAGATTAGTTGGTTGTACGAAGAGGAGAGGATTGTTTACGTGTTCCATACCCTTTTTTGAGTTTTTGTTTAGGAGAATGGAGTACACCTCACAGATCACCATGCTCAGTTAGATGCCCTTTGCCTCAGTGTGCCATAGTGGTCAGGGTTGCTTTCTCTGACTTGCAATATAAAACACTGTGCCTCCACTAGCCTTTTTCAAAAAAATCTTCCACTGCCATAGTTCCCCTGGTGCAGCTCATTTAGTGGCAGCAACAGCGGGGAGTGCTAATGCGAACAGGCAAATATTTACTATCCTGTCATTGTAGACTTACTCTGAGCTGGGTTAGATGACAGTGATAAAATGCAGGTGTCTTTTCTACATTTGTGCTCCCTTGTTACTGCTGTTGGCACAGATCCACGAACAGCAGTGCAACAGTGGGTAACTTGCCATGCAAGACTAGCATAGACCCAGCCTGAAAGGCAAATGATTCCTTTCTTTGTCCCTTCTTTAGATGATTTAAACCCTGGTTCTGACACCGTGATGCCCGAGGGCAATATGGACACTTGGGAGGCTACTGTACAGATGTTGTTTTTGTTTGTTACAATATTTTTTTATTCTGTGTATGATATTGTGTTCAGTTCTACTGAAGGTTCTCCACTGTGAAAACACTGTATCTCTGGTGGATCCCACTACTTTCCTCCTGCTCTACTCCTCACTCTCTAGTCCCTGAGCTGTGACTATGACCACAGCTATAAGAGAGCCAGTTACAACACAATTGTCACCTGGCCTGATTACAAGAGGATTCAAATTTGTAGTGTTGGTGGGATCTTATCACGTTGTCAACCAAGGTTAGCCAAGATTTGGGGACAGGGTTAACTAGAGTCTGCCCGGCAGATCTTAACCACATAGCAAGCAGCTCCTCTGACTCAGTGCTTTCATCCTTCTGAATGATAGAGTTCTTGTTTGTTTCCAATTTATACAGTGAGCCTCTCAGAACCACTCTAGGTGTGTGAACAATGAATAGTTAGAAACTCAAACAAGAATAGTAATGTAAAAAAATTAAAACCTGACCTGCCCAGCCCAGTCCACTTTCTTAGATAAAGCTGAAATAACTTGGCATTTCACAAAGTCAGGGACTTCTTTCTTGTCCATTTCTATGGTATGCTGCAGCACTCCCAATCTTTGCTGACCCGGAAAGCAGAAAAGACTAGGACTAGAAATCAAATCCAGGTCTCCAGCATGGCAGTGCAGATTAGTCACAAGGCTGCTGTGAAAAGAAAAGGAGGACTTGTGGCACCTTAGAGACTAACAAATTTATTAGAGCATAAGCTTTCGTGAGCTACAGCTCACTTCATCAGATGCATACCGTGGGAAATATAGTGGGGAGATTTTATATACACAGAGAACATGAAACAAAAGCTACTATGGTAGCCTATCACTCTTTCTTTCAAAATTTCCAAATAACTGGTTATTATGCAACTACATGTTTTATCTGTCCTTAAGTAGTTTCAGCTTTTCACATAAGCTTTGGAATAAAGCTAGAGGCACTGTGTCCCAAGTGATATAGGCCAGAATCAGCCATCAGAATCTGAACCTGTAACATCTGTGCTGGGTATGTGTTGGAAGCTCACTTCACTGTTTACTTTAAACCAGTCAAAGAGACCAAAATATGGCCTCTCCAGCTACTCTAGGGGCTTTTCTACATGGTGTATTAGTGCACACCTCTGGGGTGTCAGTTTTAGTCCACATCACTGTGCCATGTGCTGACGCACCAGTGTGGACCCTGCTGGTGGCGTGGCATGCTAGTGTGTGTAAATGTAGTCCTGGGTACTATGTTAACGGGCACGAGGGAACAGATAGTTCACACCAGCAAGGTCCACGTGGGCCAGTTAATGTGTGACACACTGATGCTGACTAGAATTTACATCCCCACTGGGATGCACTAACTCAAAATGTAGACAAACCATCAGTAACTGTCTTCCCCCACTTATAAAGCTCTCTCTGACCTCTCCTTTGTCACAAAGGGCTCAGTCCTGCCCTCAAATACACTGCAGTGCCTTGTGTTTTTCTCAAATAAGTTACTCACACAGCATACATGAATGAACTCAAGTGTCAGAGCAGAATTGAGTCTTAATGCTGTAGACGACAGTTCTCTGTTGTACAAAAGGAATAAGGCTGTATACCTTGGAGTACATTCTTAAAAAAGGATTTCCTTTGTTTGTTCTATTTTGTTCCCCGCTCATTGAGCGTTGCTCTCAGTTTGGACATAAGAACGTAAGAATGGCCCTACTGGGTCAGACCAAGGGTCCATCTAGCCCAGGATCCTGACTTCCAACAGTGGCCAGTGCCAGGTGCCCCAGAGGGAATGAACAGAACAGGGAATCATCAAGTGATCCATCTCCTGTCACTCATTCCCAGCTTCTGGCAAACAGAGGCTAGGGATACCATCCCTGCCCATCCTGGCTAATAGCCATTGATGGACCTATCCTCCATGAATTTATCTAGTTCTTTTTTGAGCCCTGTTATGGTCTTGGCCTTCACAGCGTCCTCTGGCAAAGAGTTCCACAGGTTGACTGTGCATTGTGTAAAGAAATACTTCCTTTTGTTTGTTGCCTATTCATTTCATTTGGTGACCCCTAATTCTTGTGTTATGAGAAGTAGTAAACAACACTTCCTTATCTACTTTCTCTACAACAGTCATGATTTTATAGACCTCAATCATATCTCCCCTTAGCCGTCTCTTTTCCAAGCTGAAAAGTCCCAGTCTTATTAATCTCTCCTTATAGGGAAGCTGTTCCATACCCCTAATCATTTTTGTTGCCCTTTTCTGAACCTTTTCCAATTTCAAAATATATTTTTTGAGATGGGGTGACCACATCTGCACAAGTATTCAAGTATGGTGGGCATACCATGGAGTTATATAGAGGCAACATGATATTTTTAAATGAGTCATTTTATGGGTTGGGAAAGTGTTGTGGTGGAATACAAAATTCTGAGGTCTCTGGGTGGTCATATAATTGTAATCAAAGGCAGAGTGTGTCAGCTTGTTGAGTGTACTGTTATCACACAAGAATACACATCTTAATGTATCATAGTGTGGTTAGAAGCCTATCCTTCCATCACTGAAAGGAGTCCAAAGCAGAGGAGTAAACCTAAAAGCTAGATGTTCCCACTGGACTGACTTCCAGGATTCAGGCATGGATGTCTCGACAAGCGTAAGAGTTAGGTCAGGGCAATGCTGTGGACGAAGGGGTCTGGATCTGAGAATGGGAAGTCAAAGCAGGAGTGCTGGCAGTTCTGAAAAAGCAAAGATGGATTTGAAGCATTTAAAGAGATGATCAAATTCCTAACTTTCTGAAGTTCAGTAAGCTGGTGGGTAAGTTTAAAAATGAATGTATTTGACTTTAAAAAAAAAAAAATATATATATATATATATATATATATATATATATATATATATATAGTCCCGCCCCAGGGCTGGTTGTGCTGTGGCCTGTCTGCCAAATGCTGCCCAGAGAGTTCCATAATAAGGCTCTCATCTTTTTAATATAGAGCGTGGATCAAACTGGGGCATTAGGTGTTCCCTGGGTAACAACTGTCTTTCATCGATACTAAAGTCCTCTGTGAATAATGGACTAGGACCGGTAGGGTATATCTACACTGCAATAAAGACCCTAAGCACAGCCATGGTTGGCTCAGTTCAGCTTACTTGTGCTGTTGGGCTAAAACTTGCGGTGTAGACATTTGGGCTTGGGATGGAGCTTGGGGTCTGAAGCTTTGCAAGGGTGTGGGGGCTCCAGCCCATGCCTGAACGTCTACCCTGCAGTTTTTAGCCTGAGCCCCATGAGCCCAAGTGAATTGACCCAGGCTCTGAGAATCAGTGTCTGGTTTTTTGGTTTTTTTTTATTGCAATGTAGATGTACCCCTGGTTGCCATCTCTGAAGTCATATCTGTTTAATGCAAGCAAGGTATGGCTAACAGGCTTCTGGTTACTTGACACTGTGGGGCTTGATCCTTCAAAGTGCTGAACACTCTGACCTAGTCCAGCACAGCTCCTAAGCACATGCTTATCTTTAAGCACATGAATAGTCCCTTTAACTTCATTAGGACTATTGACATGCTTAAAGTTAGGTATATGCTGAAGGGTTTTGCTAGGTTGGAACCAGTGTGCTTAGCATCTTGCAGGATCAAGCTCATGGTCTTCAGCTGAGTAAAACTCGTTGCCCCGTACTACTTTCTACATTGCAGTATGGGGTATGCTTCCTGTTTGTGAGATTGATAGCCTTTGCATAATAAATACATATTGTTAATCCTTTATAATTCAGATGTAAATATTTGTTTTGGATTAAAACTTGACATTCAAGGTGTCAGCCTCATGAACACTTTAAAACATTTTCTCAGTTGAAGGAATAATTTTACAAGTTTAAATACATTTGTTTTTAAAGCTTTTCAGACCATAGTCCCCTCAACAGTTATTTGGCAGAAGAAAACTAAGGTCTCTAACTAAAATGTTTAATTATAAGTGCAGACTGTATTTTAATTTGCACACTAAGGACCCAATCTTGCAAAGATTCAAGCATGAGTAGTCTCAAATAAGATTATGCATGAGTAAATTACTCTCATACTTAAGTCTCTGCAGGATTGGCCTCTAAATTTTAGCCCACTTGACTGTATTTTAGACCACTGGTTATCTTCTGTTTTGATCCTAGATTAGTCTGATGAAAAATGGTCTTCCCAGTTATTTGAAAATAAAAAAACCCTTAAAAATCAAGGCAATTCATGCAACAAAACTAGGAGAAGCCTAGCATTTATATTGACCAGCTACCAAGTTAGAATTGTAATAGCTTTGTCTTGAGGATTTAATCACGTTATTTGCCACATGCTAGTAAATACATTGTAAAAAAAATTTTTTTAATCCAGTTTTTTTCCATGTGAAGACAAGGCTGAAGGAGAAGCCTCAACTTTCAAAAGACCTTACGATATGTCTACACTGTAGCTGAAGTGTAATTTCCATTTTAGATAGATGCCTGGGTGCTAGTTTTGGTCAAATTGGTGCACTAAACGTAGTAGTGTAGCTATGACATGGCAGTACAGACCCGCTGCCCTGAGTACAACCCTGGCCAAGAGTCTAGGTAAGTACTCAGCTGACTAGCTTGTGCCACTGTTTGTAAGGTTCTTGCTGTTTGTAACGTGCTAGTTCATTTTGAGCTATACAGATATGTCTATCACCTCCAGCTCCGTTAGCACTTGTTAGCTAATGCATGCTTACAATATCCCTTTTATCCTTGTCTAGACAAAACTGAAAACTTTTTTTTAAAACCACCTTTTATCTTATTCTAGACAGGGACTTTATCATGGCAGTTTGGAGCATTGAGCCCTTATTGTTACTTTTTTTTTCCAGGTCATATTTTAAAATATGTTAACGCTGAAACACAAACCCATAGAAGCCAATGAGGCACCTAAAATACAAAATATTAACAATGAAATACAAAATACTCAGTCAGTGAAACTTCTAAGTATAAAAGTGAAGAGAAATTACTTCCTTGATGGAGCCTGTTGTATCTAGAGTCCTGGGTGTGTCTCAGTTATTGCCCTTTTAATGGGATTGCATTATGACTAAGAATCCAAATAGTTGACAACACATGTTGAATCTATATTAAATTGTAAAGTCCTTCGTCTTTTATTCTAAAAAAGCGTATTACATTCTTTCTCTGCCATTGGCTATTTGCTGTTCCCTTGCGTTCTGTTTACCTTTTTGGGGACTAAACCATAATTCTACTTATGTTGTACTTGTCCATTTGGCAAATGGTAGATATCTTTTGTCATAGCTCATAAAGGTCTGTGAGGAAAAACCCTTGGTTTTTTTTTATGTTGACACTCTTGTCAGACGTCAGCTTTTGCTTAATGTGCTTATTTAATAACTGCATAAAGGTCATTTATTGTCTTGAGCCTCTGGGATTTTGGGTTTTGATTGTTTTCTTTACTGTGTAACCTAGCATAGTAAGTTCCCTTTTCTTGTGGTCTTCCACTGCTTCCTTTCCTTAATAAGCACACCTTCTTTGCTCATGTAAATGTGCCATTAAACAGTAACTACTTTGTAGCGAGTGTTCTTTTCTTGTTTGTAAAATGCTCTCTACAGCAGGTTACTGGCGCAAACCCAGGCGGTACAATAGTAGAATTCTTGTTTTTAGCTTTCCAGAATGTACTCATTAAATTTTCTGCGGGTGTACTTCTGTCATTTTAAAAACAAAAACACCTATTATGTCAACTAATAGCCTCCAGTAGACTTGTCCCAGGACAAAATAGACCTTTTCCTGTCTTCCCCACTCCTGTGCAGAAAAAAATGCTCATATGTGATCTTGGATAATGCAGAAACAAAACTGCTCTATATTCTAGACAAAGACAGGTTACGCTTTCCAGCTGATGATGCAGAGTATGGTGTGCATTTCATGTGTAACTACCCTCTGCGCTGAGGGTAGGGGAGATGTTTCATGTTTGAATAAAATGTCTTAATTCTGGAGGGAAGAGGAAACATGGACTCCTACATCTTATTTCCCTCTCTCCTCCCTCAAATGGTCTAGGTATTGGTTTCACAGGCAAACACAAGAAATGCTATTTCCCAAATCCCAATCATGATGGAGAGAAGCAAAATTCCTGTCTCCTTACTTAAACTGAAGGAATAGTACAGTATGGATGCTACTTAAATGAGGGACTTGCAGATTGTAGCATTTTCCTATGTACTTATTTGTCTGCACAAGATAGCAAGTGTGAAAAATGGGGACCGGGGCTGAGGAGTAATAGGTCCTATATAAGACAAAGCCCTGAATATCCAGACTGTCCCTATAAAATCGGGACATCTGGTTACCCTAAGGCAGGAGTAACTAAATACTGAGGGCTCCTCTACACACAAACTAAAACCAAAATAAACCAAGTGGTTGCATTTTTATCATTAGTTATATTGGTGCCAGCCAGTCTGTGAACACTCTTATTTTGGATTCAGAATGTCCTATTTAAATTTAAAAACAACTTAAGTTAAATTGAAAAAGGACATTCTTAATTTGAAATGAGCACAAGCAGATTTGTACTGTAATAGCTTAGGGCTGGTCTACACTACCTCAGTAAATCGATCTCACTTACGCAACTTCAGTTACGTGAATAACTAGTTGAATAAGTAGTTAGATCCACTTACCGTGGTGGCTACACTGTGCTGTGTCGACGGGAGACTTCCCTTGTGCTTCTCAGGGAGGTGGAATACACAAATCGATGGGAGAGTGTTCTCCCATCAATTAAGTGTGTCTTCACCAGACCCGCTAAATGGACATTCGCTGCATCGATTGCAGCAGTGCCGATCTACCAGTAAGTGTAGACATGCCCTGAAGGTTGGAATTACAATTAATTTAGGCTATGTCTACACTCGCCATTTAAAGCGCAAAATGTCCCTTTTTTTGTGCTAAAACCATGGGAGCGTCTACACTTGTTAATGACTTTTTACAGTGAAACTCAGAAGTTTCACCGCAAAAAGAAAACCACCTTCATGAGAGGCATAGACTTCTTTCCACTGTTCTTTTTGCGCTGTTGCGAAAGTGAAGACACGTTCTACCTGTGTAAACACCTTTTGGCCTCTGGAGGATATCCCACAGTTCCAAAAGTGACCATTCTGGCAAGCATCTCCGCTGCTCTGACGCCAAGTAAATGGACATCCGCCCCTCCCCCCTGAAAGCCCCAGGAAGTTTGAAACTCCCTTTCCCTTTGCTTGTAGATGTGGTGGGGAAAGCAGCCAGACAGCAGGGGGTTTTGAAAAAACCTGTGGGATAGCTGCCCTACAGCGCTGCTCTCATCAGCGCTGGAAGTGCTGCCAGTGTAAACGCTCTCTGACGCCTGAGGAATGAAGTGAGTACACAAACCAGCGCTTTTCTTTCACCGGTTCCCTATCACCGGTGAAACTTACAGCGCAAAATCTCTGTAAGTGTAGACATACCTTTAGTTAGTTTGATTCCAGTTTGTGTGTAGCTATTCTCTGACTTTTACCTCTGGGAACTCACCTCAGTTCAACTCTGAAGCTGCCTTCAGTAGGAAATTGCTTATAGACAAATCCCGCCCCTCCCACCCCCTGTATTATTTCTCACAGTTGTCACGCTGCGCTTGTGAGAAGTCCCAAGCAGTGCAAGTGAATGCATTGTGGTGTCATCCCGTCACGAGTGGGCTCACTGGTATCTCTTGCTTTAACTATAGCTACAGCAATACAATCCCCCTAGTATGAATGCAGTTATTCCAGTGTGAAGGTGTTTAATACCCGTATAGCTATTCCTGTACAGGAAGGAATATTGGCAGAAGGCACTTTTTATACCAGTATTACTGCATTCACATTAGGGGTTGTACTGGTATAAAAATATATTGGTTAAAAAAATCATATCCATAACCAAACTAATTATACCTGCACAAAAAGTGTGTGTAGATCAGGTGTGTCTGTAGCAAGCTTAACAATGCAAATGGTAGCGAGAGGCCTACTCCGTTCTCAGTCCCACAGCCATAGGTACTAATAACTTTATTGCAGATTTAGAGAAGGAGAAGGAATTTACATTATGCTCTTCACACTCAACAGTCTGTAGTCTTCAACTAATTTGATTTGTTTTGGGGTTTTTTACTTGCTTTCTCTGTGAGTTATTCCTGTTAACTTATTTTTTTAATCTTCTTTATTTTAATGTGTGCCTGTTTGTCCATAAAGGGATATTACTCTCTGAGCCCTTGTGATGATGGATATGTAAGTTTCTATATCTTCTTTATATCTTTCACATTGCCTGCTGCAGCCTGTCACATTTTGTATTTCTCTTCTTGCCCCTGTTTGATAATTTCACTTGCTCTGTTTTCATTCATACCAAGTCACTGACTGTTATGGACATTACAGTTATTTTTTTAAACCTATACAAGGGTTTGGGGAATCCTTGCAAGGAGAGCAAATGGAACTCCTTCTGCACAAGGCATTTGACACAAAGCACCTCGACTCAAGGGCTGCTACATTTAGTACAGCTCTTACCCGACCACAGCTTCTTTATAAAGTGTAGGAGAAGTCTGTTTGAGCTGTGAGCCTTAATACTTAGCACTTGAATAACACATTGCATCTTCAAAGTTCAGCGCAAACATTAGCGAGTCCCCGCAACACCCTGTTCAGTAAGTCGATAAATTAATTAAGATAACATGGCCGAGATTCACGTTCTTTTCCCCAGAAGAGATACTTGTATTTTTTTTTTATCACCAGTTGAGATCTGGTGCTCTAAACATGATCAAATACCACATCATTTTCATTTAGAAAAACAAAAACAAAGTAGTTCAGGGAGTGGTGATTGTGCCTTCTGCACCCCAGATGGGCATTTGTATTCTGACAACATTCAACATAAGCATCTGATATTGCCCATAGTCAGTGCATTCTTTGCAGAGAAAGGATATTGGTCTGCTAAACAATTTAGTATGAAATCAAACCATAAAGAGCTACTGACACCTCCTTTTAAAATGTCATGCAATGTTCTGTTTAGAAAATCGTGTGTATTTCCCCCCCTGCACTATTCCTGTCTTTACTAAGGATGTTTGCATAAAACACTATTTTTTTTTCTCCACCATTTGCTGCTTTTTGCTGTATTCCTCCTCTGAAAATACAGTGAAACCTGTAGAACCCACCCTTAGTAGATAACTTGTTGTTTTAGGAAACTGCCCCAAAGTGTCCCTGAATGCACGGGGCAAAATGTAACATTGGTTTACCTCCATTGAGCTTCACCCACTGAGTACAAGCCAGGCCCACCTGTACTAAAAGATTATCTCCATTAATGACAGGTTTCAGAGTAGCAGCAGTGTTAGTCTGTATTCGCAGAAAGAAAAGGAGTACTTGTGGCACCTTACTAGTACTAGATGCATCCGATGAAGTGAGCTGTAGCTCACGAAAGCTTATGCTCAAATAAGTTGGTTAGTCTCTAAGGTGCCACTAGTACTCCTTTTCTGTCTCCATTAAGCAACTCATTTCTGTTGATCCTTTGAATGGTTGTTTATCATGATCTTCACTTGGTGTTTGACATTCCACTCACTTCTGCAGCAGTCAGTTGTGAGGTTTTAACAAGAAGGATTGATTTCCGGTGAGGAATTAGCAGGAGTGAAAGGACCCTTGGAGAAACGTACTGCTTTTTATGTTGATGATCTTAGTTTAAGATAGATGGAAAGATGCAAATTAAAAAAGAATCCACTTATTTTCAAAGCTATCTACAAAGCATCATTGTCCTCCAGCTAGATGGCATTTTTTAAGGTCATAGGGGTGGTTCTTTTTTTCTCTCTCACTGTTACCACACAATATTTCCATTCTTTACTCATGTGTTGTATACATTCTAATATGCTGGTACCTGAGGCCGCCTTTTAGTGGGATCACACTAATGCACCATGATAATCTTGCACTGCACTTTGATTCATTTATAAGTGATCTATTTTAGAGGATGTATTTTGTATGAGAAAAGAGAAATTTGCATAAGACCAAGTACATGAAAATACCTGTAGTATTATAGGAACTGACCATGGGCCAGATCTTCAGATCATGTAAATTGGCCTAGTTCCAGTTACTTCAGACGAGCTGGCACCAGCATATTGTGAATAATGAACAAGTTCAGCATCCAAACTGTAGGTATATTGTTTATATTTCGGGGTGCCAGTGAGCTGTACAAATTAGCCCAGAGACGGGCAAACTTTTTGGCCTGAGGGCCACATCGGAGTTCCAAAACTGTATGGAGGGCCAGATAGGGAAGGCTGTTCCTCCCCAATCCCTAACCCTGTCCGCCCCCTCCCACTTCCCAACCTCTGACTGCCCCCTTCAGAACCTCCGACCCATCCAACCCCCCCACTCCTTGTCCCCTGACCACCCCCTCCTGGGACCCCCTGCCCCTAACTGCCCCCCTGGGACTCCACCTCTAAAGCCCCTTTCAGAATGCAGCCCTGCGAACATGGGCGGAGGACTCAGGAGGAGCAGGTGCCGCCAGAGAGAAGCGACAGTTTCCCCTTCAAAGTGCCGCTTCTCTCCGGCCGGCTGCGCGGCCGCCCGGTGCTCCTCCGGAGTCCTCTGCTCCCATTCGCCGCGCTCCCGCCACCCGCACCACCCGCCTGCTCCCCTGAGGCTGCAGGTGAGCCTCCCTTCCTGCTCTCCCCTGCCCCTGCAGTGCAGCTCCCTCCTGCGCTGGTGGCACGGCGTGCTGAGGCTGTGGGGGAAGGGGGACAGCAGGGGAGGGGCCGGGGGTTAACCTCCCCAGCCGGGAGCTCAAGGGCCGGGCCGGACGGTGCTGTGGGCTGGATGTGGCCCGCGTGCTGTAGTTTGCCCACCTCTGAATCAGTCTGAACTTTGCTCTTGTAATTTACATCTTCACCAGGCACCTACATTTTTAATTCTGACCTCTGTTACACCTCTGTAAATTTAGAGAACCTGCAAGTTTTACACTGGCTTTTCAGCCTAGTAAATGAGATGAGAATCTGACTTTCAGCTTTCAGAGTAACAGCCGTGTTAGTCTGTATTCGCAAAAAGAAAAGGAGTACTTGTGGCACCTTAGAGACTAACCAATTTATTTGAGCATGAGCTTTCGTGAGCTACAGCTCACTTCATCGGATGCATACCGTGGAAACTGCAGAAGACTTTATATATACACAGAGAATATGAAACAATACCTCCTCCCACCCCACTGTCCTGCTGGTAATAGCTTATCTAAAGTGATCATCAGGTTGGGCTATACTACATAAAATAATGTAGACGAGCCAGTTGGATGGCTGCAGAGCTGCAGTATTTGCATCATCTTTGGTTTTTGGCTCTCAAATGACGTGTCTGTTTTCTTTTATAAACATTGATTTCCCTTTGAACTTTTTTTTTCTTTTCTATTCAACCCTGGTCACATTCATGCTTCACTTCTTTCTGAAATGAAGGGCTGCCATCTGTAGCTACTTTGCATTGTGACAGAATTACTTAGATGAATATGGCAACTGGATCGGCTTTGGCAAGACCTAACACAGCTACATTCGTCATAGGCCTATGACCCTGCCAGATTGAGCTGTGCTTGGGCTATTGGTTTTTTATTTCCTTATTTAAAGATACCTGGTCTCTCCATTCGCTGTGTAGGGTTGAAAAATTGGCTGGCCGCAAGGCATATTTTGTGTGGGCTTTTGTACAGAATGAGCCCTTATGATGTCACAGATACATTTATATACTGTATGTTCCTCTTAATCAACTGGCAGCCTGCAAATACTATTATTCAAAAGGTTAAAATATATCAGAGCCTGTCCCATGCAAAGAAAGATCAGGTGCATGGTGTCAGGGTGAGTAGATGGCTGTTAAAATGGCCTGGCGAGTCCTTTTAATGTTAGCTAATTGTAGCTAAAGAGCAACATTACCCTGGGTAAACTTGAAAGCCTGAGGGGAAGCATTGTGTAGAATAGTGGCTTTCAACCTAAGGTCCGCGGACCCTAGAAGTCTACCGACTATGTCCAAGATTTCCAAAGGAGTCTGTATCTCCATTTGAAATTTTTTAGGTGTCCACAAATGAAAAAAGGTTGAAAACCACTGATCTAGAATTTAAGTTATAGGGACTGTGAGTCAGGCAGTTTTTGTTTTCACCTCTCTGCACCTCAGTGTCCCTAGCTGCAAAGTGGGGATTTACTTACCAGCATCACAGGGATTTTATGAGACTTAGTTTATTATAAGATGCTCTGAGATCCTTGAATGGAAGGGCAACGTATTTATAGAATACTTGGCCTGATGTTTTTGCTGTTTCTCGTACAATTATTTCTGATATCTGTTTTTAAATAAGTCCAGTTCTCCTCCAGAATCCAGTTTCCCCTTCTGCTAGACCCATGATACATTCAAAATCCCTATGCTTATGATATCAGAGTTTGCTCCGTTGCCATAGAAATAACTGTTTTGTCAATAGTTCAGTATTACGACTTCAGTATAAGAATCAAGAAAGAGGATTCAATAGACTGTAAGGGATCAAAAATTTTAGTGCCAAATTGGGCTCCAGTACCCCTTTAGTCCCACTGAATGCATTATCCCTTGTAGCTAAGGGAACCGCATTTTTATGGAGTTCTGAGTAATAACACAGGAGTTAAAATTGGAATATTATAACTTAAATGATTGATTGCTCTGCAGTTCTTTCTTTGGTTATAAATCCCTGTTGAAGAAGACTGCAGAGTTCTCAGTAAATTCTGTCTTTATTCATAGAGATGGCCACAACTTTAAAAAAAACAAACTGTGGTGGCCTTATACCAGAATATGTTGTTCCAAAATTGAATGTAAGACATAGAACAGTATTAAGATTTCAGTTAAGAGCTCTTCAGACCTAATCAGCTGTGGCCTGAGAACACAGTGATGTACAGCTGTCCCTCAGCATACAGTATGGAAAGGCATACAGTATGCCTCAATCAGGGTATGTCTACACTACCCGCTGGATCGGTGGGCAGCGATCGATCCAGCAGGGGTTGATTTATCGCATCTAGTCTAGATGCGATAAATCAACCCCCAAGCGCTCTCCTGTCAACTCCTGTACTCCACCTCCGTGAGAGGCCCAGGCGGAGTCAACGGGGGAGCAGCAGCAGTGGACTCACTGTGGTGTCTTCACTGGGGTAAGTGGATCTATGTAAGTCGACTTCAGCTACGTAGCTGAAGTTGCGTAACTTAGATTGATCCCCTCCCCAGTGTAGACCAGGGCTATGTTGCTTGTCCAAGGCCAATTGAAAGCATCAGGGAAACTGAATGTATAGCCCTATAAACCATAAGTGTCCTAGTAACAGCATTGGCTAGTTTTCAAATGGCTTTCTGTAGAAATCAAATAACTTACTAGCAATGTTTTACTGCTATTCTTGTTCTCATAAAGTTATTTAAAAATATAGGACCCAACAAGTTCCAAAAATAAAACACATTTGTTGCAAAATTATAATTATTTATTTTAACTCATGTTAACCTAATTTCAGTGTTGTTCTCTGGCAGAGTCAAACACTGTCTGTTTCCTGCTTGTGCATTATTTAACAGCCAGGAGCATTCATTTAATTTTATTGCAGTACCCATCCCTTGCCTAGCACTTTTCATCAGTAGATCTCAAAGCAATTTACAAAGGAAGTCCAGTATCATTATCCCCATTTTACAGATGGGGAAACAGAAGCACAGAGAGGTGAAGTGACTCGCCCAAGATCACCCAGCAGGCCAGTGGCAGAGCCAGGATTAGCACCCAGGTCTCCTGAGTCCCTAGTGCTCTTTTCACTAGGCAACATTGAAATGTTGCAAATTGGCTTTTGTCTAAGTAGTTATATATCTGGACACGAGGAATCCGCTGTCTGTGACAAGATTAAATTCTTCATGGCATCTTGAATGATTCCATTATTTGCCATTGATGCTTTTAAACTATGTGCAGCCAGACTCAAAAGCAAAAATCACCATGAATGTGGTAAAAGTGAATATATAACATTAACCCCAGAGCAGTTATGTAGAAGTGGGCATTTATTTTTGCGTGAATAAAATGAGCCCATCACACTTGACCCTGAGAACAGGTACAGGGGAAAAATGTGCATCAGTACATTAACTAATATTGTAAACCATCTCCTGTCCCTAAAGAGCAGATCCTGCCATGCTTGCTTACACTGAGCCATAGCTTCTTCCATGAGTAGTAGTTCCACTGATTTCAAGGGACTACTCCTGGAGTAAGGTAATAGCGTGGTTAAGGATGGCAGAATTTGGCCCTTAATAAACTGTATACTTTGTCTACAATCATACCACAGGCAAATGCCTAAGAAAAAGAAATTGGCCTTACAGGGCAGGCCCTAGAGATCAAGAAAGCCTGGCATTGTCAGAGAAGTGAATGCTAGAGTCTAGAGCCCTCCACCAAGAGCATCCTGCCCTCGACATTCAGATATAGATAGGGAGTATCCTCAACTGTCCTGCAGCACTTTGGGAATGAGGCAGAGTCTCTAGGCTGGCCAGGAGCCAGTCCAGAGCAAGCTCTTTGCCAGGTCCCATCAAACTGCCTCAGGAAAAACCCCACGTTGTTAGGTATTTCAATGAACTTTCTTTGTTAGTTGTCTCACTTTATCAGACTAACCTTAACAATTCCCACCATGTAATAATTTTCCCAACCCATAGTTTCTGTAGCTCAAAATTTAAAAAATCAAAACTCTTCTAAAAACTCCCAGAGTGTCTCATTTCTGTGTCCGATTATAAATAGTGTGGATGAAAATGTGTAACTTCCTCTAGTGCATGTCCTCTGTTTTGGTTACAGGGGACACATGGTAAGTCAAGTTTGTGTGTTCACAGCATATCAACGGAAATGCTGGAAAGAAGGTCTTTCCAGAAGGGCCAACAATGAGAAATAGAGATGTTTTCTATACTGTGATTTACCCAGGGTACAGTCGGGACTTCTGAACAGATGTGTCCCCTCAATTCTCCAACCTGGTGTGCCTTTTACACTGCTAGGCTATGAGAGCAACCACTTCTTGCCTGCTCTGATACAGCCTCTAGCATGTAAATTACTCCCAGCTATACTTTATGAGTGCTTAGCCAGGAACCCATGAATTACATTGTGGAGTGATACCAGCAAATTCCTAGTCCCAGACTTGTCCCCAGACATGTGTGTCTTGTACTGCCAAGCTCTTTCCTTCTGGACAATACAAGTTCATGGAAATTCCGTCATTTTATTAATAGAAAATGATATGCACAAATCCTGTTATCTCAAATGAAGTTTCCCAAACACTTCAATTCAAACATGCACTGGTTTAGATAAAACAATAGAACAAATTTATTAACTACAGAAGGAAAGATTTTAAGTAATTACAAATAATGAGGCATAAAAGTCAGAATTGGTTACAAAGAAGTAAAAGGGAAATGCCAACTAATGCTTAACCTAACAAGCTAAGTGACCATAAAGCAAAAGGGTCTCTCTCACCACATGTTCTTTCGCGATCTTACTGGCTGGATGCCTTTCAGCCCGGACCCCTCCCCTAGTCCATTGTTCCTTTCCTTGTCCTTCAGGTGTGGATGTCCTGGGCAGAGGGAGGGAGGAGAGAAGTGATTTGAGGCTTCTGTTCCTCATTTTTATCCTTTTCCTCTTCTTTGAGAATCATCTCCAGGTGGGGTTCAGGAGACAGGAAGTCTGGGGAGACAGGAACTTCCAGCTACTTCTTTGCCAATGTGTAAATTTCTCACTCTTTTTCCTGCCAAAGAATGGCCACTTAACCAGGTGATAGTCCATTTAATTATGCTGACACCTGTCTGAGGTGTTGGCTACTCTTTTGTCTTTGAGGAACTGGACTGAAGCTGTTTCCTTAGACTTAGAACATGCCTTATACAGTAGAATTTTATAACTTTACATACAAAGTTGCCACACGCATTTTAGCAGGATAGTAATGTTCAGCAGATTGTGAGTTTTCAAATGATACTTCACAAGGCATACTTTGTACAACATTTATCCTAGTCTTGTAAAAAGGATGAACGTAAGGGTACAAATACCCTGCTAGCGATCTGATGTATTTCCTTTGCCAACAGTGTCATTTCTCCATCCCCCTCCCCCTTCCAGCTCACTCATGTTGCTTTTCCTTTTGCTTGAACATGCAGTGCGGTCACTGTTGTGCTAGTTTATTGTCATGGAGCTGACTACGGTCTGATCTACACTAGGAAATTAGGTCAGTATAACTATGTCGCTCAGGGGTGTGAGAAATCCAGACCAACCTAACCCTGGGTGTAGACAGTGCTAGGTTGAGGGGAGAATTCTCTACTGCCTCTTGGGGAGGCGGATTATCTACACTGACAGAAGAATTCCTCCCATCAGCAGAGGTAGCATCTTCACTGAAGTACTACAGCAGTGCAGCTGCAGCATTTTAAGTGTAGACAGGCCCTAAGGCGCTAGAAATGATTTGTGATTTCATTGCCAGCTCAGGTAGGAGACAATGGCTTTGGGTCAGGGGAAAGCTTTGTTTAAATAAAACTTACCTTTTAATATTTACAAAAGCATCAAGGAAAATGAATAAAAATAACTGAAAGGCAAATGGAATGAATGTTTATATATAATATGACACATTTGAAAGACCTGATCCACGGTGAAAAGTAATTCCTGCACCATGGGAGAGCTGCTGTCAAGACAGGTTAATTTTAAGGCCTAAGAACCATTAATTGGCTCTTGTGTATAGTCTTCATTGAAATAAACATCATATAAAATGACAGTTAGTGCAACTATAAGCCCATTCCATTTGTGAGAGAAATGTTCCTTGTATTAGTAAGGGATACCTCTGACCATTGTGAAACCTAAGTGTACGTGAGATAGTCATTCAATATTCTCTGCGGTGATTCCTGCCTTTTGTCTTCTAAATTTCCCAGTTTTAAATCGGACAATAGACACTGATTATACGGTCTCTCTTGAAAGAGCTTGGTTATAAAAGAAGACCAATTTTAAAAACATAAGTGGTAATGAGAGATTTTTAGAAAGTGAGCTGGAGTAATCTTCATAGAAGGAAGACACTGAATATTCTGTGAATATTGCACACAGGTGACATCAGTGGAATACATACCAAGGAACCCTCTTATGCCAGAACGGTTTTTTCCCAGGACCACCCACAGCCATCTTTAGCAAAGACCATTTATTAAAATAGATAAATAATTCTACATGCAATGCTGACATTAACCAGTCAGTCTTTTGATGGGTGCTCATCTCTGATCACTGAAAAAGGGCTGCTGAGAGGGGAGACAATGAGATTTTAAATGAATTAAGTTGAGGCAGGACCAGAAACAAGCGTTGCTGCTATGGGGTGCTCTGCTGACAGTCATGTTTGTGTACATTGCTTGAAACAGGGACTATGCCTTCCTCTGTTTTGTACAACACCAAGCATAGGACAGAGCTCCCTAGATACAATTCCTATTTATTATTTTGTATCTGAATTGGAAACTATATTTAGAAAAAAGGCCCTTCAGCCGTAAAGGGTATTTTTAAAGTATTAGAGTCAATGAAGACCTTCCAAGTGGCCCTTCATCTCCTTCAGGGGCTCTCTGACCCCAGCTGATTCTTATGAAATATCAGTCCTCACTGCTTAGGATAGCACACTGGCTGCAAGCCTGTTTTCCCTGCTGCCTGTTACCATTCTTTGTTTTCTTTTTGAAATGCCTGGATCTTCATCAGGTAATTTGTGGGGTACGTCTGCAAAGAGAAGTGTCAATCCGAAGCATAATTAAAGGCCTTTTTACTGGGGAGCTAGCGTCTGATCCAATTCCCATTGAAGTAAAAGCAGTCACTTATGTCCAGTTTTAGTTATGTTTAAGTACGCCATGGTGGTAGTAGTGGTAGACGCCAAACCTCACAACCCTGATGAGCGAGAATATTGTGAATCGGATTAATAAGCACTGCCTACGTAAAATTTGGATTAACCTATTGTGTTTCCTTTTCCTTTTCTCCAGGCATCAACAATGTTAAGAGCATCTTTAGCCCCTGTGTAAGTGTTTCTTGCTGAGCTTTGCTTGGTTATCTGTAAAGAGAGTATGTGGGAGGAGACAGCCAGTACCCCGAAGTGCACTGACTAACTGGTTACTAATGAGAATCACTTGCCTCTCTGTGTATGGTTACCAACAACTGTTGTCTGTGAATGCAATGTGGCCCACGTGACTTTTGTGAATTTTTGATGTAAAGGGATCATTAACGTTCTGATCTCAGCAAACTCTTTTTAGCCCTGTTAATATGGCTTGCTGCACAATATTTTACCAACTGTGATTCAGTGGCTGTGTTTTCCTCAGTTGCTATAGACACTACAGTCCTGTTGTAGTTAGGTTCCCACAAATCCAGGAGGAACGGAAACCCCGAGTAAACTTAGTTGTGTATTTCTAGAACCAATTTTGCAGTGGATTTAGTAACTTTGTCCCTGAAGGAATAATAATTATATGGCAAGTTTTTCTGTGATTGAATGATTTTGTCTTAAAGGGATAATGGCCCCGATCCTCAGAGGTTTTTAGATGCCTAACTTTCATTGAAGTTAAATACCTTTGAGGATCTGGGTCTCTGTGATTTTATGGTAAATTCAGAATTTAGAATTTGTTTGAAAAGGGAGTAGGGCAGTGTGGTGAGTGTTTGGGGAACCTAATATGAGTAGGAGTGATTTTAGCAGAAAACGTATATTTTAGTACTTAAACCAAAAACAGTTTAGTGAAGGCAGCTTTTAAAAAAGTCACCATTCCCTTGCAGTGTTGTGCTAAGAAGCAGTATTGTGTTAGTGCATGAGAATAGAATGCGACCCTCACTAGCAATGCATATTACATTTAACAGTTGATTTTCACTGTCCAACCTGAGCAAAATGTACCCAGTAAACTGTATAAATGGTGAAAAACCCAGTTTTAAAAATCCTTTGAGTTCTACTATTCTAAACTGATGTGAGTAATCGAGATAAGGGAAATAAGTCAAAAAATTGTGAGATTTATTTTCCTTTTAAAAGGAAGGACACGTGCAAGTTGCTTTTTTGAAACCAGATTTGCTCTCTTCACTTGCCTCACTTCAGTAGCCTCAACAGCTCCCGTTGAAGGAGTTGGATGCGGTATTAATAAATGTCAGGTTTCCTTTCTGCCATGTAGGAAAATGCAGGAAGTGCCATTGTTACCCTCTTTGGATTATGAGAAGCTGAAGAAAGATCTGATCAGTGGGAGTGATCGTCTTAAAGCTTTCTTACTGCAGGCTCTGCGCTGGGTAAGTGAAATGGTCTCACTACAAGTGAAGAAGGATCTCGTGCTAGGCCCTTTCAGTAGAGCTGGAGCTAAAATCTAATTTGCAGACAAGAGGGCTCACATCTGGAGTGAGGTGTCTTCCTCCATAATAGGGTGTGTGGGGGGCGGAGAGAGAATGCAGAGGTTTCTCTGCTTGAGTTTCAGTCAGTGACACTTGCTGAGGCTCTGGAGGTGCTGAGGAAAGTGTAGGATGTGCCTTGTGAATTACATCTGTGGCCTTTCTGGGTGATGAAGGCCAACTGGAAGATTTTGGAACCTTCATTGGAATGATGCCTGAGGGAGGGTAAAGTGTCCTTTTGTTTCAGAGGGCATGTCTACACTACAAAATTAAGTCGACTTACATTAAGTTGATGTACAGCCACCACTGTAATTACAGCAGTGGTTCACATCCACGCTTGCTCCTTCCTTTGGTAGTATGTATCCTCACCAGGAGCACTTCCACTGATGGAAGTGGGACACTAACGGCTGGCCCCAGGCAGCCATGGGGTTCACAGCTGGCCCCCTCTCCCTGCCCCAATGCTGAAAGCCAGAGCTGTCAGTGCTGTGGCAGGGGGTCCTAGCTGTGAGCTTGCACCTTGCTGACAGCTCAGGGTGTCAATGCTAGTGGGGGAGGGCTCCACTTGGGGCTGACAGCCAACAGGCGATGTAAGTAATGCAGCGTGTAACCAGACACTGTATTGCCCTAGCTATTTCGACGTAAGCACTATCCCTCTTATGGAGGTGGAGCTATGTCAGTGTAGTGTGCCACTTACTTCCGCAGAAGCAGCATTGTAGTGTACACACTGACATAATTAGGTTGATGTAAGCTGCCTTACGTTGACCTAACTCTGTAATGTAGACCAATCCAAAGAAGTGATTGTGTGTCTTTGTTCAAGGAACTGTCTCTTGGTAGGGCAATAATTGGAGAGAGACTGCCAAAGTCTTGAACCTTCCTTTTTCGGGGAAAACTGTGAGCATATTTTAGCAAAACTTTGAAGGTGGCAACAAAAATCTTTTAACTTCATGCCACGGAAGAGGGGAAGCCAATGGAGGGATTGAAAAGGAAGGCTGACATGGGCAAAATGACCGGCAAGAAAGATGATCATATAAAGCAGCTAGATGCTGTGTAAAGTTTCACACCCTATCGTACTAATGACTTGAACCCTGTGGTGGGTCTCTTCCCTGTCTACCTTACCAGGTCAGTCCTGTGCAGATGCTGACAGATTCTGAATGACAGTTTTTTGGTTGGCCACTGAGCTGAGAGCGCTAAACTCATTTCACTTGCTGTCAGACCTCAAAGTTGAATTCATCCTCTGTGTGAGAGGAGGATTAATTCTCCCCAAAGAATTCTCCCAGACACACTCTCATATTAGCATTAATTTATGTGAATGATTAATTTCCCATCCTCCCATTTTTTATAGCGCTTGACGACGTCTCATCCCGGTGAGCAGAGAGACACCGTCCTGCAGGCTTATATCAGCAATGACCTACTGGATATCCATAACAGTAGCCAGGTCAGCAAGAGTAGATCTTACTCTGGTTTGTGTGTGATATTATTTATTTTTATAATGTGCGGATCAGAAAACTCTGTCTATTACAACATACAAATAATTAAACCGATTTGTACATGATCTGTTGGGTTGAGGCATACGTTTCAGAATACACTGACCACTAATACAGATTCTCTGTCTGGGAAGGGCTGGTCTGTCTGTTTTTGGGAGCTGACCTTTTTCATCCTAATTGCAGTGTTGTGGGATGACCTCTTAATGGGTCTCCATAAGCCAAAATGTGATATTTATCATTTATGCAGTAGGAGGGCCCAGTCCTGCTAGGCTTTGAGTGCTCTTGACTCCCATTGAGGTAAGTGGGAGTCAGGTGCACATGGTACTCACAGGAGATGCTAAGCACCTCATAGACGAGGCCCTGAAACAGTTTCTATAAGTGATTCTGTGGGATCTTCTTCAGGTTGGGGGGCTGTCCGTAAGCGAGGACTGGCCTGTCTCCCAAGATCTGTGAGAGTGAGGGATCGTCCCTCAGGATAGGTTGTAGATCCTTGATGATGCGCTGGAGAGGTTTTAGTGGGGGGCTGAAGGTGACGGCTCTGCAGCGCATCATCAAGGATCTACAACCTATCCTGAGGGACGATCCCTAACTCTCACAGATCTTGGGAGACAGGCCAGTCCTCGCCTACGGACAGCCCCCCAACCTGAAGCAAATACTCACCAGCAACCACACAACAAAAACACTAACCCAGAAACCTATCCTTGCAACAAAGCACATTGCCAACTCTGTCCACATATCTTTTCAAGGGACACCATTATAGGACCTAATCACATCAGCCACACCATCAGGGGCTCGTTCACCTGCACATCCACCAATGTGATATATGCCATCATGTGCCAGCAGTGCTCCTCTGCCATGTACATTGGCCAAACCGGACAGTCTCTATGCAAAAGAATAAATGGACACAAAACTATAACATTCAAAAACCAGTCAGAGAACACTTCAACCTCCCTGGACACTCAATTACAGACCTAAAAGTCACAATTCTTCAACAAAAAAACTTCAAAAACAGACTCCAACGAGAAACTGCAGAACTGGAATTAATACACTAAATTCATTTCTCTTGTGACCCAGAATAAGAATTAAACTAGGATTTTGTTCTTAAGATGTTTATACAATATATCCTTTTATGCAGCACCTGCAATCACATTTTTAAAAGCACATTTCAGTACATTCAAAACTTACTATAACTTTTTCTTTAGCAGAGTGCTCTAGCCTGCATATTGATTGGAAGGGGTCTTCAGTGATTGATAATTCAACTGTGTCATTAACAAAGTCATGACTTTTATATTTATTAATAATAATTAATTTTATCCAGAGTAGTGGTTTCATTCTTTAGCCATGGGTCTAATTTTCAAGAAGTAAGTCCTGTTGTCCTCATGAGGATGCATTTGTTGCCTCTACAGGTACCCTAGAAATCATAGAAATGGAGGGTTGGAAGGGACATCAAGAGGTCATCTAATCCAGTGGTTCTCAGCCAGGGGTCTTCCAGCGGGTACATCAGCTCATCTAGATATTTGCCTAGTTTTACAACAGGCTGCACAAAAAGCACTAGCGAAGTCAGTACAAACTAAAATTTCATACAGACAATGGCTTGTTTTATACTGCTCTATAATATTATAGGCTGAAGTGTAACTATAATATTTATGTACCTTTTGATTTATTTTATAATTATATGGTAAAAATGAGAAAGTCAGCAATTTTTCAGTAATAGCACTTTTGTATTTTTATGTCTGATTTTGTAAGTAAGTAGTTTTTAAGAGAGGTGAAACTTGGGGTACATAAGACAAATCAGACTCCTGAAAGGGGTACAGTAGTCTGGAAAGGTTGAGAACCACTGATCTAGTCCATGTCCGCCCCACCCCCATGCTCAGGCATGATAAGTATACCTGGACCTCTCTGGCTGGTGTTTGTCTAATGTTCTTTAAAACCACCGAGGAGAAGGATTCCATCATCTTCCTGGGTAATCTGTTCCTGTGCTTACCTATCCTTATAATGAGAAAGATTTTTCTAATATCTAACCTACATCTCCCTTTCTGCAAACTAAGCCCTGGTCTACACTAGGACTTTAGGTCGAATTTAGCAACGTTAAATCGATGTAAACCTGCACCCGTCCACACGATGAAGCCCTTTATTTCGACTTAAAGGGCTCTGAAAATCGATTTCCTTACTCCACCCACAAGTGGATTAGCGCTTAAGTCGGCCTTGCCAGGTCGAATCTGGGGTACTGTGGACACAATTCGATGGTATTGGCCTCCGGGAGCTATCCCAGAGTGCTCCATTGTGACTGCTCTGGACAGCACTCTCAACTCAGATGCACGATTGTTTGCCCTTGCTCTGACGCAGGGAGGGCCGACTGACGACACGGCTTACAGGGTTGGCTTACAGGGAGTTAAAATCAACAAAGGGGGTGGCTTTACATCAAGGAGTATTTCAGGAAGGACTTCACGGAGGGTTCCAATAAGAAATGGTGCACCTAAGTTATTGTTCTTATTGGAACAAGGAGGTTAGTCTGGCCTCTGATTGATACATGGCTAGATTTACCTTGCTGCACCTTCTCTGTGAGTGACTGCAGTGTGACCTAGAGGAATGAGTCCCCTAGACGGGGTGCGGGAGGGGATTTGCAAATGAGTACAAAACAAATCTGGTCTATTTCTTGTTTTGATACACTCCATCTATCTTCTACATCTTTGGCTGGCAGCAGACGGTGCAGAAGGACTGATGCCATCCACATCTCATGGCTGCTCGGCAGAAGATGGTACAATAGGACTGCTAGCCATCCTCATCTCTTGCCTGCCCGGCAGAAGATGATGCAATAGGACTGCTAGCAATCCGTATCACCTGCCTGCTCACCATAAGATGGTTCAATAGGACTGACTACAGGACTAAAGAGAATGACCTGATCAAGTCACTCCAAATTTAGTCCCTGCGCCCATGTCTGCCCAGGCGCTCCTGATTGACCTCACAGAGGCGACCAGGAGCACCTCGGACATGACGATGACGGCTACCAGTCCTATTGCACCGTCTGCTGCCACAGGGCAATGGGTTGCTGCTGCTATGTAGCAATGCAGTACCGCGTCTGCCAGCACCCAGGAGACATACGGTGACAGTGAGCTGAGCGGGCTCCATGCTTGCCGTGGTATGGCGTCTGTACAGGTAACTCAGGAAAAAAGGCACGAAAGGATTGTCTGCCCTTGCTTTCACGGAGGGAGGGAGGGAACGGGGGCCTGACGATATGTGCCCAGAACCACCCGCGACAATGTTTTAGCCCCATCAGGCATTGGGATCTCAATCCTGAATTCCAATGGGCAGCGGAGACTGCGGGAACTGTGGGATAGCTACCCACAGTGCAACGCTCCGGAAGTCAACTCTAGCCTCGGTACTGTGGAAGCACTCTGCCGAGTTAATGCACTTAGAGCATTTTCTGTGGGGACACACACACTCGAATATATAAAACCGATTTCTAAAAAAACTACTTCTATAAATTCGATCTAATTTCATAGTGTAGGCATACCCTAAACTGATTACTTCTTATCCTACCCTTGGTGGAAATGGAGAATAATTGATCACTGTCCTCTTTATAACTACTTTTTACATATTTTTACTTTTTACATCGTGTCTCCCCTCAGTCTTCTCATCTCTAGACTAAGCATGCCCAGTTCTTTCAACCTTACCTCATAGGTCATGTTTCTAAACCTCTTACTTTGCACTTGTCTTTACTGAATTTCATCTTACTGATTTTAGACCAATTCTCCAGTTTATCAAGATAATTTTCAATTCTGCTCATATCCTCCAAAGTGCTTGAAACCCCTCTGAGCTTAACATCTACAAATTTCATGAGTACACTCTCTATTCCTTCATCCAAGTCACGAAGGAAAATATTGAATAGTACCAGATTCAGGACAGACCTGTACAGGACCACACTTGATATGTCCGTCCAGTTCAACAGCAAACCACTGATAACTACTCAATGAGTACGGTTTTTCATCCAGGTGTGCACCTACCTTATTATAATGTTATCTAGACCATATTCCCCTAGTTTGCTTATGAGAATATCAAGGAATTAGGAAAAAACAAAAAAACAAACCCCCAAAAACAGAACAATCAAATTCTATTTTTGATATCTGAAACTTTCTGTAAAGGGTAGTGATGTATAGGAAATGCCAGAACTGAGACTAAAGTTAACAGAGACTTGCATTTGTGCTTTGTGAGCCAAGCACTGCTGTTCAGACTGTGTTAATGGTTCCCTTGCACCTAAACATGCTAATAGCTGTCAAGCAGCAAATGTCCCTATTCCAAGTAGCATTAATGCTTAGTCAGAAATGAACAAACCCCCTACAAAATATATGTTTTATTCAAAGATGCTAACTTTATTAATTTGAGTTTAGTTAACTTAATTTCCTTTTCTAGGGTGCTGCTTTATTATGACTTTACCCTGCACATTAAAGCTTGTTCTATTTTGTTTCCACACCTTTTTCACCCATACAATGGAAGATTAAAGTCAAGTTAGCAACTTGTTAATATGCTTTTGTTTGTACAGTTCTGATATTTGCTCTGCATCATTTATAATGCCTTTAAACATTTCATAAGCCTGTGTTAGAATTTTCCGCTTCATTTATTTTGATAAATGTTTGCTTTCTCTTGCAGAGAAATGTGCTAAAATTGCTACATTCCAAGAGTGAGGTGGTCCGACAGTATGTGGCGAGGCTTATCAATGCTTTTGCTTCGCTGGCAGAAGGTAAGAGATGCACTGCAAAGGGCTGTCCTCTTCATGTACCTTGGCACATTATAGGTACTTCATTGTCCTTGGGTGTGGAAATTTAAATACATCCTGCTTCTGGGCATTCATTGTCCTATGTTCTGTTTTTCCAAGGTCGAGAATTGTCAGTGTCTGTACAGTTGCCACTTACCACTTTGACAGTTTATTTCAGCTTTTGTTATTTCAGTCCTCACCTTTTATAGCGTGTGGTCTTTGTCATGGGCAGCCAGTGAACCGGCAGCTGGGGGAGGCTAGCCCATGGCCAGCCCCCCCCAGCCCCAGCGCCAGGTAGGCCAGTGTTGCGCGGCCCGCCCTACCCTCCTGGCATCCGAGCGCTGGGCAGGTGGGCCAGTAGTGTGTGTAGCCGCCCCTTGAGCACAGGGTGGGCGGCGAGCAGTCCCCCTGAGCGCCAGGCAGGTGGGCAGCCCCAGTGCTCTAGTCCCCCCTCCCCCAAGCGCTGGGTGGCACGACCCCAGTGCCCGGGTGCCCCCCAGCACTGAGTGGCCCCAGCCACCCCAAGTCCTGGCCGCCCTAGCCCCAATAGGCTTTCCAAAAGAGGAGCAGCCTGCCTGACCTGGGGCCAAGGGGGAAGGGCAAGCAGGAGCCGGAGGGGGCTGGGGAAGTAGTGTGGGTGGGGCCACGCTGGGCTGTTTTTGGGAAGGCACAGCCTTCCCCAGCCTATGTGCCACGCCTCCCTTGGTCTCTGTAGGCCGTTAACAGTAGGTTTTCTAATATCCACACTATACGTTATAATTGTTATGTCTTCAGTCCCTTCATGGGGCAGTGAAGTGTGCTCTTCAATCACAGTAGTTGTGCACCTTGCAGAACCGAACCTGTAACCGTTCCCATCTTGCATCATTAATGTTCTGAAAATGCACCTTTAAAAAACTACCCAAAAAAACTGGCCCATGATCAGAGTCCTACAGAGAGTCCCGGCCCCTGGGCTGTGTACTAGGACTGATACAGCAGATTTTTGTGACTAGTCCTGTACCCTCCTCTTCTCGACCTTGATCAGCCTCTATGTATCACGGCTGCTCAGGCCATTGCACGCTGAATTGTGATGGAGCTTTGCTCCAAACCTTAGTCTCTCGGACTGGGATTTTCAAAGGGGCCTATTAGAGCTAGGTACCCAACTGCCATTAAAAGTCAATAGGAATTGGACACTTAACTTTCTTAGGCCCCTTTGGAAATCCAAAATGTAAGTGTAAGATCGCCCTGAGCAATATGGTAGAAAGTACATGGTTAAATGAGAGGTAGCGGGGGTCTGGCTAGTACGGCCAAAGTACTAGCTTGGTAAACTGGTACAGTTGCCCCAAATGGGTGGAAGCTATCTTAAAAGTGATGTGTTTTGTGCAGATTGTGAGTTTCTACTGAGGGTTTCTACTGCCTTGTTAGAGAGAGAAAGTTGGCTCAAGCCATCTTTCTTTGCAAAATGGGAGGGAGGCTCTCTGTCGTGGGCTAGTATCTCACTATCTATTCTTTCATCACTGTTTGCACCAGGTCGGCTCTACCTTTCCCAGAACCCAAAGTTGCTGCGAGTGCTGGAGGAAAGGCTGAAAGCTGAACACAAGGATTCCCTTACACGGGAGAATGTTCTGGGGGCTTTGCAGAAATTCAGCCTCAGGTGATGACAGCTCAGCAGGCAGTGGTGACAGCAGGAGGGGAAATGCAAACTAGGCAGGCTCTGTTCAGGGCGGAAAGAAGAGCACTTGATTTTCATACAACAATCATCAGAACCCACTGTGGCTGATGAAAGAAGTGCCATTGATAACTGGAGGAAGACCCAACTCTGCTGGCAGAATTAGTCTGATTTCTTGGCAGTTGTCAGACTCAAGTGAATTTGTGCACATTAATGTCTGTGCATTTTAATATGTATTTTTAATTACACAGTCTCATTGAAACTATATCAGGACAGCTCCCGTATCCTGAAAGTCCCAAAAATCTATACAGGGACAAGAAAACCTGTGCGTTCTCATTCAGTTATCTGCCAAGGGGGGGTCAGGGTTTGCCCTCTCTGCAGAGAATTAGCTAGTTTTCATCCTCGACCTTTGAGTCTGGAGCCATCCATTCAGACACTGTCTCTCCTTTGGCTTTTATGAGAGCAGCTCTACCATAGAAACTTGCTGCCAGTGCCTCCTGCAGTGAATTTCTCTTGGGACTGGAGGAAGGTAGCTGATGTCACCCCCTCCTGAGTCAGTCACTCTCCATCCAAGTCCCCTCTTCTCACAGGAGAGCAGCAAGGGATCAGTCTTGCATAATTACAGTCTCTCTTTTAAATCAAGATTCAAAGTTTGCCTGTGAAGACTGTGGGTTTGTTTTTGTTTTTTACATTTGTCTCATTTAAAGCTTGACTGGAGAAACCATTTGCATGCACCGTAAGGGAGAGGCCCTACCTGAGTGGGGGTAGATGAGACTCAACACAGTTTCTTTCATTCTAGATTTTGTGGTATCAGGCAAATTGTTACCTGTACCATACTGCTGGGAGTCCCAGCCAGAAAAAAAAAGCAGATGCCATTCTTAGAGAAAAAGAGATTTCTATAAATGCAGTTATAAAGAATGCAGGGGAATTTATTAAGTATTCTTTTGGCACTAAGCATGGTATGGTGCAATAGGCTGCAGAAATTTTAAAATGATACTTTATTATTACCACTAGTATTTAATCTTGTGCAAGGACTGCTACAGATAACCCATATGAAGACATTTTTGTTTGTATCAGATGTTCCCCAGATATTGCTCCAGTCCATGCCACAAACCCACTTGGCAATCTGTGAGTGCAGCAAGCTTCTCTGGGGGCGGGGAGAGGCTATCTGGATCAATTGCCTGGCCTTTTAATAATAATAGAAATACATCTTTTTTGTTCATTGAAGATTATTTTTGGTCGACCTGTGAATTAGGCTTAAAGTGCCATGGGTATTAGATAAAATGGAGGTAATGAGCTCTTCACCGCAAAGTTTCCACCAGCGAAACAACATCTTGTAGTAATCCAGGCTCAGACACCAGGTAAAATGAGTTCTGCAGCCTGGTTTGAATTTCTGATGAATGTTGTGCCTTGCCAGGGAACAGACACCCTTATAGTTAGCAGAACCTTCAAATATTCAGTGTGGTATTGTATAGGGGGTAACTCTGTGTGAGAAGAGAGTTAAATGAACCAAGAATCTTTCCAGGGAAAAGAGTAAATAGGATTAAGCAAAGATAATATTTGCTAAATTGGAGGTGGGCATGGGGGGGGGACCAACTTTCCATGCATCTTCTCTCACAGACATAGTTACCACTCCTTGTTGGGGTGGCTTGATTAAGTCAACAGGAGAGCTCTCTCCCGTCGGCTGACAGCGACTACACTAGAGAGCTTACAGCGGTGCAGCTGCAAGCTCCCTAGTGTAGCCATAGCCTACGTTTGCATCCTACAGTTGTCTCTCTCTTCACGTCTTTGGGTTTTATTAATGTTCTAGTTTCTCTGCCTGTGCCAAAAAGTGTAATTTACACTCTTTGTTGGAGGGCTAACATGTAGGAAATAGGAGAAGTAGTTTTACCGCACTCTTATTTGAAATACATATAAACAGTGTAAAATGTATTTGTTTTATATCCTAGACGTGCCTTGCAGTCAGCTATGATCACTGATGGGCTCATTTTCTGGCTGGTTGATGTTTTAAAGGATACGGACTGCCTGTCAGATTACACGCTGGAATATTCTGTCGCCTTGCTCATGAATCTTTGTCTCAGGAGTTCAGGTCTCTTACAGTTACAGATGTAATTTTTCTGTTGGGAAATGAGTGGGGAAAAACCCTGACCCTGAACCTTTCATATTGATATTACTGAGGTCTTTCAAGTGATTTTGCATTATGTCTGTTTTTATCAAGATTTATCTGTGTTTAATTGCCCCCACCACTATAGACTCTGAGCTCCATAAAAGGTGCTTTATCAAGATTTATCTGTGTTAAATTGCCTCCACCACTGTAGACTCTGAGCTCCATAAATGGTGCTTTTGATCAGGTGTCTTTTCCAACCTGCTCTGAAACAAAATCCACGCCTTGTGGGGAGTCAAAACTCACCTTCTTGCTGGAGTTTGGCCTTGTTACCAAAGAAATTAAATTAGTGTTCAGCTCAGTCCTCCCCTGGCTTGTCTGTACTTAGGGTTGTTCCCCTCAGAACTGCTCTATCTACACCTGGGTCCTCTCTATAGAGAGCCACTCCCACTTTCCTTTATATAGGGCGGGGTGATGTGAGGAGCCACCCACCTAACCTCACTGAGTCAGCAAAACTCATTTAACCCCTTCCCAGCATGTTCATCACCTAAAAGGGTGGAGCGTTTCAAGCAAAAACAGTCTGTCTGCCTCAGGGCTAGAATGAGTTACCTGATTTCTGACTGGGCCGAAGCAAATAATATGCCTGTTTATAAAAGCCAGTTAGAGCTGAGCTATTCAATAATGCAATACGGCCCCATCCTCACCTTGCAGGATTGGACCCATAGCGATCAACAGTCCTCTTATGACACAGAGAGCCTCATGATAATATAATGATACAGTTTGTGACCCCAAGGAGTTTACAATCTTAAGAGATTTTAATTAAAAAAAAAAGTGGGGGGTGGAGTTAAACCCAGATAAGTACACAATAGCCCTCAATTGGGATCATCAAAGTAACTTTGTTAAACTGTTGTGGGATCAATGTCTCAGACTTTGAAAGTAAATATTTTAGAAGATGTACCTGTCTAAAACCAGAGTAATTCAATTGACTTCAGTAGAGTTATTCTGAGAGCAGAATTTAGCAGGAGTGGGGAGCCGTCCATTGCATATTGCATTGTATTAATGTTTAGGAAAGAAAGAAGAGTTTGGTTCTTTTAATTTCCTTCTCTGTATTTGAAAAAAAAAATTATGCCTTTGCAGGGAAGAAAATGTGTGCGAAAGTTGCAAACCACGTGCTCAAAGTTCTCTCTGATCTCCTTGGCCATGAGAACCATGAGGTACTTGTACAGCAAATATTCCTCTGTTTGGGCAAGGGAAGGGTAAAGCTGATGATTAAAAAAAAAAAGGTGTGTTTTGCTTGGTCCTTTGCTATTGTACCCTGGCAGTAAATCACATGGAATTTCAGTGAAGTTCACAGTCCTGTAAACTCATCTGGGCTCAGTGAATGCTATGGGGGTTTTTCCCTCGAGATTTTGTTCTCTCTCTTCAACTGTATGATTGGTAATTTGAAAATGAATGTTTGGTAGCAGTATGGTTTTCACATTCCAAACTGCAGGTTCCTGGGATTATTTTAAAGTAATCTAAAACCAAATCTTTCCAAGCCTTACTACATCGGGAGATACAAAACTGTTTGTGATGCAGACCATATGCGAAGCATCAGGTGCAAACAAGTCACCTCCACCAGTATTTCTTTCTTTTTTCTTTTTAAAAAGAATACTATAAAAATAGCTGGGTGGCCCTAAGTGTTTCGCTCCAAATATCTCTCCATCTGCTGCTTCGTGTGGGCTGCCATTTTACGCCCAGCAGTTCAGGGCAGGAGAAAGTGGATACAGCATTTGCCTTCAGTGTGAATTTTAAAGGGAGTGTGGGGAGGCAGAATGTCATTTATCAGACTGGGGATTTCGGCGAGAACATCAGGATTCAGTCCCTGACTCTCATGGAAAATGTCTTAGAACCTTAGATGAGCACCAGTGGTTGGGCCCACAGTTTTATATCCCATTCTGCAATGGGAGCTACGTTTTAAACATCTTTTTATTTTTATTACCTTATTGAAACTGAAAGTAGAGACAATTTTCCTGAGCAACGTGTGTGTTTCTTCTGTGTCTTATAAAAATCCACGGTGTGATGTGGCTCATCACGTCTGTACTACTTTATTTTAGTTAAGATTCATCTTGGGAGTCTCTTGTTGGACTAAAAAAGAAAAGGAGGACTTGTGGCACCTTAGAGACTAACCAATTTATTTGAGCATAAGCTTTCGTGAGCTACAGCTCACTTCAAGTACTCCTTTTCTTTTTGCGAATACAGATTAACACGGCTGTTACTCTGAAACCTTTTGTTGGACTGTATTGTTAGCCTTGTTTTTGTGACCAATGTGAATTTGAAGGTGGTTTGTACAGTGCATGGTGATGTCCACTTATGGCCCAGTCCTGCACCATTTAAGTCAATAGAAGTTTTGACATTGAAGTCAATGGCAGTAGGATGAGGCCCTTGGATGATGGGAGAGTTTTCTGAAGTTTTCTCAAACTAGTAGTCACAAGTGTCTTGGAGATCTAGATATACTATGTTATAATGTCCTGTGTTGAAGAGATTCCTCATGGATTTTTAAAGTAGATGCGTAGAACTGCGAGACCCAACCTTCTTCATCATGAGAGGCAACTATGGGTCATGGTAGGTAGTTTCCTGCATATACCTGCACTATCTGGACCTACCTACAAAAATCCTTCTAACAAAATCAGGTGGTAGGGCTGAAGAAGAGACCTCTGGGATCATCTGGGTCACCTCTTGTCTCAAGAAATTTGATATATGACTTTAGCTTAGCTTACTTTTCCTTAAAACTATCCAGTACCCCCCATGACAGTAAACAGAACCAGCAAGTCTTGCCAGGAACAGTGTTTAGGACCTTCACATATTTGTTGCATTCTTGGTCTAAATCTACATGAGCCACCTTGTTTATATTCTTCAGGGGATGCAGAGAGCGCCAAAAACCGTGGAATCCACATGTAGCTAAAGTTGGCCCCCACACAAGGCTCCTGATTACCAGCTGGCCTTCTGATCACCTTCCTAAAAGTTTACTGGTCACCAAGTGGCATTATCCTAAGCAGGGAAACTTTTGTGTGAGTGGCATCAGAGTCCATGTGTGTGGCTCCTTTCCACCTAGGCTTCGCCTGTTGGCAATTGGATAGAATTCAAGAGTTGGAATCATTAAAAGTGCACTGACCATTGGCACATTTTCTTCCTTCTCAGATACAGCCCTATGTGAATGGAGCGCTGTACAGCATTCTTGCTATCCCTTCTATACGAGAAGAAGCCAGAGCAATGGTAAGGAACATCGGATTATACAGAGAAAAGAAATCAGAAGAAATGGATTGAGTAAGGAAGTAACATATCTACATAGACATATTTCTGACACCTACACTTCAAACCATGCTGTAAATGCATATTTGGAGTTCTCATTTTACTTCTGCAACCCCTCCCCTCCCCATATGTAATTTCATTACAGTAACTGTAGGTAATGTTACATTTTCCATTATTGTCTGGGCTGTGTCACAGAGTATGTCATGTTATTTTGGGAAGATATTGGGCCAAATTCCACTTTGATGCAAGCTGCTCTGACGTGACTGAAGTCAGTGGAGTTGCATCCACTTATACCCAGGCTGAGTTTGAATCACTGGTTCCTATTGACTACTACAAAGCTGTGTGGTCTAGGCTGAGCTGCTCCATCAATTATGAAGTAGTCTGTGAGAAATTATAGTCAAAATGGAACTGCTGGATGTTCTGAAAGAGGGAATTTGCCATCCCTGTAGCCGGTGATGATGAAGGAATTGAGGTGATGAATGGTCTCCTGCAGAGCTGTCACTATCTTTTGGAGGAGATAACAATGCACCATCACAAGCCAGCAGCCAGAGGCTTGTATCTGGTCTAATTTGTACTTGCTCACATTGTCTGTTTTATTATGTGAAATCAATTTAAATGTAAACCTGGGCAGCATGTCTCCTTTCCTGCCATTCTTTTCTTACTAAGTCTATTCAAAAGGCATCTCTGAAGACCCCGTTTTCTGCGTTTTCATGTTTAAACGTTTGGTTTAAAAATAGCTGTTCATTATCAGCTCTTCCAGCATTAGCTGGGGAAGGTGATACCACATTAAATAATACTCGTAATAATTAGGATGAGAGGCCGCTTCCCTGCATCTGCAAGGCTCCTAAGGAATAGCCTGCACTGGCGATCTATTTTAAAGGACAACTTGGGTTTGATTTTTCAGAGTCAGTAGGAGTTGGACACACAACTGCTTTTTGTACCTTGGAAAATCTCCCCCTTAATACACACAATTTTTGGGTGTGGGTGTCTCCCATGTATTCACATATACGATGGGGGTAGCAGCTTGCTAGTCTTCTACCCATTGTGGTGGCCAACTAAGGAGGAAGGGACAGGGTCTTGGGTTTCAAGGGTTTTGTCTAAATTAGGATTTAAAGGTGTTATTTAGAACATGTTAGCTAACACGATCCAACTGACATGTTTGAAAAAGTGAACATAGACAAGGCGGTGTAGATGTTCACACACGCTAAGCTGATCATGTTAACCATAGGCTGCCTCGAGGCTTTAACTTGACAGGTTTAGCTTGTGTGAAGACAGACTTTTCAAATGTTAGGTTTTCTCTTCACGTACAGTGCTACAGCGGTGCAGTTGTACCGGTGCAGCTGCACCTCTTGTCGCGCTTTCGTGAAGTCGCTGCTACCCTGACGGGAGCGCTTCTCCCATCTGCATGGCAGCTATGTCAGCTCGAGAAGCTCTCCTGTTGTTGTGCTGTCTGCACGGGGTTAGGTGGGTGTAACTGCATCACTCAGGGAGGTGGATTTTTCACATCCCTGGCTGATGTAGTTATACCAATATAGGTCTGTAGTGTAGACCTGGCCTTAGTTAGAAAGTATTAGCTAACACCTTCTAACAACGCACTTTTTTATCCTAAAAAGAACAGGAGGACTTGTGGCACCTTAGAGACTAACCAGTTTATTTGAGCATAAGCTTTCGTGAGCTACAGCTCACTTCATCGGATGCATACTGTGGAAAATACAGAAGATGTTTATATACATACAAACCATGAAAAAATGGGTGTTTACCACTACAAAAGGTTTTCTCTCCCCCTACCCCACTCTCCTGTTGGTAATAACTTATCTAAAGTGATCACTCTCCTAACAATGTGTATGATAATCAAGGTGGGCCATTTCCAGCACAAATCCAGGGTTTAACAAGAAGGTCAGAGGAAGGGGGGGGGGGGGAGGAAAAAACAAGGGGAAATAGGTTACCTTGCATAATGACTTAGCCACTCCCAGCCTCTATTCAAGCCTAAGTTAATTGTATCCAATTTGCAAATGAATTCCAATTCAACAGTCTCTTGCTGGAGTCTGGTTTTGAAGTTTTTCTGTTGTAATATCGCAGCTTTCATGTCTGTAATCGTGTGACCAGAGAGATTGAAGTGTTCTCCGACTGGTTTATGAATGTTATAATTCTTGACATCTGATTTGTGTCCATTTATTCTTTTACGTAGAGACTGTCCAGTTTGACCAAAGTACATGGCAGAGGGGCATTGCTGGCACATGATGGAAATGGCCCACCTTGATTATCATACACATTGTAAGGAGAGTGATCACTTTAGATAAGCTATTACCAACAGGAGAGTGGGTTTGTGTGTGTGGGGAAAAAAAAAAAAGATGGGGGGGGGGAGAAAACCTGGATTTCTGCTGGAAATGGCCCCCTTGTAAGGAGAGTGATCACTTTAGATAAGTTATTACCAGCAGGAGAGTGGGGTAGGGGGAGAGAAAACCTTTTGTAGTGGTAAACATCCATTTTTTCATGGTTTGTATGTATATAAACATCTTCTGTCCTTTCCACAGTATGCATCCGATGAAGTGAGCTGTAGCTCACGAAAGCTTATGCTCAAATAAATTGGTTAGTCTCTAAGGTGCCAGAAGTACTCCTTTTCTTTTTGAGAATACAGACTAACATGGCTGTTACTCTGAAACATGTTTTTTATCCTAGTTTATGTGAAGCCAAGGAGGGCATTTGGCGTGTATGAGTGCAGTAATAGAGGAGAGAAGCAGGGAGTAGGGTCTCTGAGGACAAAGAAAGTTGGTACGAGGGAGCTGAGCCACTTTCATTCCTCACTACTGATTTATTTGCAGGCACAATTATTGTCATTTAGGTGCCTTGCCCTGACGAATCCGTGAGCTGCTACCCAACATATGGAGCTGGACATTAAATGGCATTAAAAGATTACAGACACAAAACAGATCCCACAGTTGCTAAAAGAGATGATGTGGGTTTAAGGAGAGAATGAAAATCAGGCCCCCCTCACCTCCCACTTTCCTCTGAAGCCTGCACAAATCTTTTCATACTTTTTCCTTACAGAGAGAGGTTTTTAATGAACCAGTATGTATTGAGTTTAGAAAGCAGAGGAGTAGCTCCTATGGAAATTTGTGAATATTGCGTGTACTGAAGGCTTCTGTGTTCAAGTGTGGTAGCAGATTTCCTTAATTTCTGGGCAGTTGATGGACAGAATGGAATATTTATAATTGTACACAGCAGTTTCACTATACATTTTCTCTTCCCAACAAAACAATAATTTTAGCCAGTGAGATGACCTGTGCTGGGCTAGTGGCATGAAACACTCACCTAGCAATGTTTTCCAATGTATCCAGGGAATGGAAGAAATTCTGCGGTGCTTCATCAAGGAAGGAAACGCCGAGATGATCCGGCAAATTGAATTCATTATCAAGCAACTCAATTCAGGTCAGGGGAACAGATGCAGCTATTATCCAGGCTGTAAATCTTTCACGAAGCCCATAAAAAAGCTCATGTTTTTATATGGCACTGGGAACTTACAAAGAATGACAACGGGGTGATGGACTGGGAGAGCTCAAAGAGGGAACGTGAGGATTTCAGTGTCAAATGTGTTTTAAAATTTCCTTTGTGTTTCAAAAAGAAACATTTGGACCTAAATTCCAAAGCTTTCTGACCATGTGCAGCGTGACGTTGGATGGTTATGTTGGGGCATTATCCTCCCAGAAACAAAGGTACAATGCTTGAATAAGCTGGCGATTTTACTGGTAGCACAGTACAGTGGCACAGGGTTCAGTCTTGCTCTTCTCTTGCTTCATAGCTGGGTAAGGACAGGAAGTTCTTGGTGTCTGTGACCTCTCCTTATCCCAATCCAAACCTGAAGTGGAATTGACAAGTTATGTTCTGGCCTTTGTGGCTGGAGGGAAGTGGCTGGAGAGAGAAGAAATAAAGATAGCAAACAAGGGTGAATTCAGGAGGCATCCTCCTGCTAACTAAAAATAATTCTTGTTCAGTTGTCTTCTTGTACTTTGGAAAGGAGCAGAGGTGGCAATGAATCTTCCTGTCTTAGGCTATGTCTACACTAGCACTTTTGTTGGTATAACTTATGTTGCTCAGGGGTGTGAAAAAAACACCCCCCTGAACGACATAAGTTACACCGACAGAATGCCAGTGGGGACAGCGCTGCTCTTTGGGGGTGGTTTAATTATGTCGACGGGAGAGCTCTTTCCCGTCGACATAGAGAGGTGACACAGGTGATCTTACAGCAGCGTAGCTGGATGGCGACAGCGGTGCCGCTGTAAGCTTTCTAGTGTAGACATGGCCACAATGTGGAAAAGAACAAATTGAGTATCATGCAGTTAGTGTTTGACTAGGGCAGGGGTTCTCCAACTTCATTGCACCGCGTCCCCTGACCATGAAAATTACTACACGACCCCAGGATGGGGGACCGAAGTTTGAGACTGCCTGAGTCCTACCACCCTGGGTGGAGGGAGCAAAGCCAAAGCCCGAGCCTTACTGCCCTGGGCAGGGCTGGGGGGCCTGTTACCTGAGCACCACCACCTAGGGCTGAAGCCCTTGGGCTTCGGCTTTGGACCCTGGTGGTGGGGGTCGGCTTTCGCCCTAGGTAGAGAAACTCGGGCTTCATCCCCAGGCCTCCGCAAGTCTAACGCCAGCCTTGGTGACCCCATTAAAATGGGGTCATGACCCACTTTGAGGTCCCAACCCACAGTTTGAGAACTGCTGGGCTAAGGTGTTGTCGATATAGAAAAATATTTTGCTGCTCTGTTTGTGAAAATGGCATTCTGAAAGGGGATATGTGACTGTTGGGCAACATTTCTGAGTGTGAAGATCTGCAGGAAGAGCCTGAGAGTTTAGATTGTTTTCAATACCGTGGTGTAGGTTTGCTCTCGTGAAATATGCCTCTCCGATAATAACATTCATTTTGTAATTTACTTGTGGGGGCATCTTTAAATTATATTATTCAAAAACTATTTGTTTAATTCTTTGTGTGCCTGCTATCCCCTCATCATACTGTAAATATGAGGATTTAACTAGCTGGGTATAATCATGAGTAAGTAACTATTCCTAAGTATTTCTGCTTCTGCCTTCTTCGGGGAATCTAAGAGATGATTTTTGGTGATTCTAAAAATGTTGCTGTTCTCAGAATACTAGCACAAAGTCCAAGAGCTGCTGTAGAAAGAACTAGCATAATAAATATTGTCAAGCTAAATTTTTCAGGACGGAGGATAATAGCTAGAGTTTCTGATGGGATGGACACAGACTAATTCATCTTTGGTCACGTACGCTGGTATTTTTTCTTTTGTTTCTTTCTAGAAGAGCCATTGGATGATAGTGTTGAGTCTGATGATGAAGAGGAGGATGAAGATGATGAAGTAAGTATAAAGGCCTGCTGACATCTCCTGGGAAACTGATTAACATTCTATTCAGGAACAGTTGTGCTGATTGTGGGGGATTTTGTATGTCTGTTCTTCTGTGGGGTGTGTTTTAAATTTCATTACCAAGGATATTTGCATAAAAAGAGGACCTCTGCTCCTGCTGCTTATTCCTCATTTGAAGTCCTAATCCTTTTCTTATGGCATCATAATCATCACAACAATAAACTATGATGACATAACAAAGGATTACAATTTAAAGTAAGGAAAACAGAGGAGCTGTTATATCAGCAGAGATCCTGTTTTCATGCAGATGTCCTTATAATTAGAAACAAAGGAAGCAAATGACCAAAAACACCAGCAGAAGTGTGTAAACTGAATGTTTACCGGTTTATTCTTTGAGGCATCATCAGCTGTTTAAGGTGTGACTTCTTTTCTTACTTCGAAATTTTAAAATCTTTTTAATTAACTCTGTTAATGTAAAATTAGCAAACCAGTAAGTACAAATTTCAGAGTAACAGCCGTGTTAGTCTGTATTCGCAAAAAGAACAGGAGGACTTGTGGCACCTTAGAGACTAACCAATTTATTTGAGCATAAGCTTTTGTGAGCTACAGCTCACTTCATCGGATGTATTCAGAACAAATGTGGTTCTTGATTTGGAAAATCAGTCCCCTTAAAAAGTTGAATCAGAATAGTGGACAGAATGTGCAGGCAGCCTGCAATTTGGGCAGATAAGAACTAGTCAGGTGTGCATTGCAATCTCTGCTAATTTAAGCTTTTTCTATGCTAGTGTTTTTCAGGAAACCTCCTACACAGCAAAAGGGGGAGCCCTCATGTAGACAGCACATAGGCCTTTTAACCATTTTATTACCTAAACAAACCAGCAGAATAGAATGGTGTGGTGGTAAAAATGCCTTTGCTCTTAGCACTGCTGCCATTGCAACATCTGTGCAAGTGCAACAGTAGGAGATTTCCTGGAAAAATACTGTAGACAGCCAGAGGGGAGTTCCTCCATAGAGCACCCTTATTACATAAAAAGTGCTGCATGCATGAGCAATTTAAAGGGACAGCTAGAAGATATTTTATAGGCTTATACTATATAGTGCAATAGACAAGTGTGTGTGTGTATGTATATGTGTGTATATATATATATTTGTATGTATATATGTTTTTGTGTGTGTATGTGTGTGTATATATATATGTTCTAAAATGGCCCTTGGTATTGCTAGCTAGCAATCATGCTTAGTCTTTCTTTACAAATTCACTTTGTACTGTGAAAATTCCTGGAGAATAGCTATGGACAACACCTAAGTATATGACCCAAACCTGCAAAAAGTAGGAAATTCAAAGTTCAGCATGCCACTTAGTCCTGTATTCACCAGGTCCAGGGAGAGATGTTTTGTTATCCCTCAAGTCATGCAGATACTGGGCTAACTTCAAGGCACTCCTTTTGTTCTCTACTACAGCAGTTGTGCTTAATTGTATCGCTATAGCACTTTAGCAGAGCTGTTCTTTTATTTTTAAATGAGAAAAAATTACCAACTTTTTTGCAAATTTTTTGTGTTAAGAAATGTAGAGTGCAATATAATTAAATCATATGGAATTTAAAGGAGAAAACAGACACCAATGAACAGGTGGGTATTCCTGCAGAGAACTTATTTGCTACAAACCAAACTCCCCTTTATAGTCTATTTACTACAGGGTAACAACAGCTGAATGTACATTTCAAAGTAATTTATTTTTAATAATAATAATGAATAATATTATTATTTATTTGTATTACCATATTGCCTATGAAACCTAGTCATTGACCTCACTGTGCTTGGCACTGTATAGAAACAGAACAAAAAGATGGTCCCTACCCCATATTTGATTCATTGTGAAGTTAGAAAAACATTGCAAAGGTCCCAAACTTGTGAGCTACTGGGCACCCTCAGAGCCCATTGACTTCAGCATCTCACAGCATCTGGCCTTTCGTAGCATTGTTTTCTGTGGTTGGGTAGTTCTGAAGCGATTGGGTTTCTGGTAGCCAATGTCCATACCATGGATTAATGAGATGGTGATGAACATATGTCCACTGGGAACTAGATTGAACCCAGCAAACTGATTCCACCTTTGACCTTCCCCATATTTGAATCTACATTTGCAAGAATGTTAATTCTCAGCTGTCTAGCCCCTAGGTGGTGCAAAGAACTGATTCATTATAGGATGAAGTTATTATAACTACTTAATTTCCAGTTATCTTTAAGTACATGAATGTCCAGTAATCTGCCCTCAAAGCAATGGATGTGGCACATTCAGGGTATTTCAGGATAGGGTGACCAGATGTCCTGATTTTATAGGGACAGTCCTGATATTTGGGGCTTTTTCTTATATAGGCACCTATTCCCCCTCCCCTTCCCCCCCCGTCTTGATTTTTCACACTTGCTATCTGGTCACCCTATTTCAGGAGCTCATCTTTATGACCTCTCACTGCTACCTACATCACTTGTTTATAAAACCCCTTATTAGGGGAGCAGCTATTGCTAGAGGTGAGGTTCTGTGACAGTGATTGCCTTGCGTCCGCTGTGACAGCACAAGATGGCGAAATCTTCCTTTGGTCTCTGGCATTTTTTGTTTCTGAGGGATACTTTGATATGGCTTTGATCTTTTGTGATGTATAGTGATGCAGAGACCACTTCAAGAACGGTGTGGCACGAAAGCTCATGCTCAAATAAATTGGTTAGTCTCTAAGGTGCCACAAGTACTCCTTTTCTTTTTTCATAAGTGTTGAGCACTCTGTTCTTCAGGGGCCGCTCTCAGGAGTAAAAGGGGAGTTAATTCTCCATGTCCTGTTCCATCTTTGAAACAAATAAAGATCTATATTTTTGTGTTACATAAGCCTTTCCTTTATATAAAAGAAAAAACTCCCAAGACCATTTTTTAAAAACTTGCTTCCAGGCAAGCCAACTTTCAAGTCAATCCTAATTGTTAAGGGTAAGTTATAAATCTTTATTTCCAGGGGCTTATTGACATACTGCCAGGCCCTTAGCTAGATCATTGCCACTGGATAACTGTAATTTTATTCTGTTATCAAATGGAGGCCTATTCCAGTCCCTTGATTACAAAATTGGTATCAAAGATATATGCCAAAATAAATGGCAATAAAATGATATGCTAACTTCATGCAGGTTATTGTTTCTGTAAATAACCAATGATTTGTTCACTCACTGCCTCACAGATATAGACCTTTGTATTTATGGAATGCAGAATGTAATTGTTCTCCATGGTGAGATGGAGTTCCATGATTATATCTGATTTTACAGAGCTGTCTGGCAAACCAACTTAAGGGAGAGTTTGGAAAAGTTTTATACACAGAAAGTCTATTAGTACACACTCAAATCAACAGTGCCAGTTGAAGTAACTTTACAAACTGTCACAAAATCGATGCATTTCAGGGTATATACATATTAGCTGTTTGTTAACACAGACTGCCTGTTTTATAATATGCTAGTGACCATCGTGCTGCAAATGTGTATAGCTTAGTGGCTATTTAAAAAAAACAAACACCAAAAAAAGCATTGTAGGGAAGTGGCTTTTTTGGCTCACCACCCATTTTCCTCAGCACATCCCTATCGCCTTCCATTATAGCAATATGTTTATGCAAAGATTTCCCCCAATTACCATTAGCTTTCTATATTTTGCTATTTCTGTATTTAATTTTAAATTAATCTGATTTTTTGTTGGCTTTTAGCAGATCTCACGGTAGTGACCACTTAAGACTAAACTACTCCGCTAAGAGTTGGTAGATGCTACTGCGGTATGGAGGAATATCTGGGCTTTTCAGAAAAGCTGGAGCTGTGTGTCTGTTTCAAAGCCTTGTGTCTGATCATTTTTTTTTTAAAGTAGCTTTCCAGATATTGCATGCAGCTTTTCTGAAAGGCCTTTTATAACAGCCCATGTCTGAGAAGCTATAACAACAATAGGCTTTAGCCTCTTGTAGCATCTTAAACCCTGTCACGTGCTCATGTTTCTTTAAAATAAACAAACAGAACTCCAAGCTTTTAACCAAACTGCTGGGTTTTGTCCAGCTCTTAGGAATTACATTTCTTATAAAAAACAGATGGGTTTAAAAAAAATTATTTTTCACTGCAATAAAACCTGTTCTCATTACAGTAAATTGCACCATTATTTGTGTTCATAGGTGTGGATTCCATCACAGTCTTACACGTCATAAAATGATATAGACACTGTGAAATGTGGACATTTCAATGGTTGGAAAAACTTCCAGTTGTGCAGGCCTCCAGTGTAATAAACTCGATTTTTCATTTGTCAGTACATCCTCCCTGAAATCATCTGCCTATTGAGAAAAGGAAACTTTAAAAAAAATTATAAATAAATAAAAATAGTAGGCAAAAGAGTCTAATTTGCATTTCCCCTCAAACTGTAAGTACAGCAGATGTTAGAGTCTTCTGGGCTTCTGAATTCTGTGGTCCCTGTTGGGAGAACAGAGCAGGGGCTTTGGCTGTCTCCAGCACCTTTCGTTAAGTGGGAGTCTTACTTGTGTGCTGGCCTACTTTTTACTTTTCTCGGTGGAAGTAGACAGCGGCTCACCAGATGCAAAGCAAGGGTGAAAAAAGGTACATGGTGGCTGATCTCAAAACGTTCAGACCTTTTTTTCAACAATTCCATCAGCCATTTCCCACAGAAACAGGAGCTGAAAGTCCGTCACCATCTGGGAGTTAGAACTATGACTTGCCAGACTCAATAGCTGGCTACCGGCTGAGAACAAAGAATATTGGCACGCTTTAGGAATCCAAAAGTCTGTAATTCTCCAAGAAAAAAATACGAAAAGTCTACATATCTTTAAAGTATCTTTACACAGAGCCTTTCTTGCAATACAATTATTTGGTTCATTTTATGTACATGTTTTGAAAGAACACTTACTGAAAACAGCAGCACTCTTTAATTAGTACAGATTTACCAGATAATCTAATAGGTGGTCTCACAACACACCCAA